TGCTTGTTTGGCAGGTGTTTTACTGACTGAAGCCCAGGCCCTTGTCTTCCATTTTTTTCTTTCTTTCTTTTTTTTTTTTTTTTTTTTTTTTTTTTTTTTTTTTTTTGGTTTTTCCAGACAGGGTTTCTCTGTGTAGCTTTGTAACCTGTCCTGGAAATCACTCTGTAGCCCAGGCTGGCCTCGAACTCACAGAGATCCGCCTGGCTCTGCCTCCCGAGTGCTGGGATTAAAGGCGTGCGCCACCACCGCCCGGCTTGTTCTTCCGTTTTCAGCTATGTCACTTCTTTCTTTAAATAATTAATGGATTTATAATGGCTGACGTGGAGTCTTTGTCTGCTAACTGCCATGTCTGTTGCTTTTTTCTTTTTTTAAATTTTATGCTTTGGCAATGAATATGATCAACATTAATACTACAATTATGACTCAACTTGCCATTTTAAGAAGATTTATTTTATTTTAAATTATGAGTATGTATATGGGTAGTATATATGAGTGCAGGTGCCCAAGGAAGCCAGAGACATTGGATCCCCCCAGAGCTGAAGTTCCAGGTACCTTTGAATTGCCATGTGGGTGCTGGGAACTGAACTTGAGTCCTCTGCAAGAACAATATTTGCTCTTAGCCACTGAGCCATCTCTCCAGCCCTGTCGGTCTGTGAAATTTGAACATTTCCTGAGCCTGTGTGAACTCGGTGTTGGTCAGCTTACAGTTCCCTCCTGGTTGGTCTCGGCCTATGGGTTGTTGATTGCCCAGCCACAAAGTATTTCCTCTCTATTTGCAGCTCAATGCTTAGCCAAGGCTTCACGTAAATTGTGTAAATTGCTGGCTCTCCCCCATCCCTTCTTTTTCTGATAACTTTTCCTGGAAAGCTCTCTTTGCTTTTAGCCTTTTCAGACTTGAGTCTCTTTATCTCCACTTTAGCAAGGTCACCACACCCTGTGGGGCTCCCCAGCTCAGTGTTGTGTTCTGGAATGCCTCCAGGGAGAAAGTGAGGCCCAGCTTCCTTCAGGGATCACAGTCCTGTGTGCCTGTATACAATATAGAAAGCATTTATCTTCTGTACAGTTGTGTGGCTGCACAATCAAGGCTAGTCCGCTCATCATCTATCATGGCTACAAGTGAGTTTTCCTGCTTGTTTCCATTAGTTCTCTCTGTGTGTCTGTCTGTCTGTCTGTCTGTCTGTCTGTCTGTCTCTCTCTCTCTCTCTCTCTCTCTCTCTCTCTCCTCCCCCTGCCCCCCTCTTTGGTTCTTTGGTTTTTCAAGACAGGGTTTCTCTGTATAACAGCCCTGGCTGTCCTGGAACTTGCTTTGTAGACCAGACTGGCCTAGAACTCACAGAGGTCCTCCTATCTCTGCCTCCCAAGTGCTGGAATTAAAGGCATGCGACACCATTACCAAGCCATTGGTTTCTTTGTAATTAAGGTGAAATTTTTATATCATAAAATTGACCATTTTGTCTCTTTATCACTTAGTGAGCCAGCTTTTAGGATGATCTAAATTGAATCTTAAAAGATGGCTCCAGGGTAAAGTGCTTGTCACCAGTACCCATGAAAATGCTAGGCAGGTGTGGCATCCAGCCTGTAATTCCAGTACTTGGGAAGTGGAGAGAGCAAGCTCGACTAGCCGAATGGGTAGACTAGCCGAATGAGTTGAGCTCTAAGTTCAAGGGAGAAACCCTGCCGCAGTAAATACTGAAGTAGGGAGCAGTTGAGGAAGAGTCCAGGTGTCAACCACTGGCCTCTGCTCTGCAAATGTACACATGTAAAAAATAAGAAAAGAAGAAAGAATGACCTAAATTATTATGGCAACTTCATCCATTTAATTAGATAGTTGGAAAGGATCTGAAGAAACTTGCTCTGTACGAGACTTTGGTAAATTGAGCATCCATATTCTCTTGTCCAAAGAGAATTTGTTACCTGACTGTAATCACATTGCTTCCTGTAATATGGTGAACACACGTGACATTTTAAGTTTAAGTTATGTATTATTAAAATACATAACTGTGTTTTATGTATTTATTTGATCGATGTAAATACACTGGAGAACAACAGAAAATAAAAGCAAAGAAGCCTGGTTTAAAATCCTCTTCGAGGGCTGGAGAGATGGCTCAGTAGTTAAGAGCACTCACTGACTGTTCTTCCAGAGGACCCGAGTTCAGTTCCCAACACCCACATGGCAGCTCACAACTGTCTGTAATTCCAGTCCTAGGGTACTAAAACACCAATGTACATGAAATAAATTAGTTTTTTTTTTTAAGTGCACGAAAATCCCCTCGAGCATTCTGTTTTCTACTTTAACTTGAGAGTGCTTAATTTGCATGTTTCTGCTCTCCTGTGTCCTGCTGCGATCACCCCTTGACCATGCACATTCCCTCTCCGCCTTCTCCTTTGAGTCCTACCTGACTTAAGAGGTCTTTCGTAGCCACAGAAGTCCTTTGGTTCCTGTGGTTTTAAAAGAACACGCAGTATTTAAACTGTGAAATGTTTGCAGTGCTGTGCTTGCAAGAAGTCTGAGCAAGTTTGAAAAGGCGATCTGTGGTAAATGTGAATAAGGTGACCTCACTTCGGGAGGTTTTAAAAAGATGAAGGTTGGAAGAGACCTTGAAAACTGACCTGCATTTATGGGACAGAGAGAAGGTCTGTTCATAGTAGAGATCAAGACAGGAAGCAGGGGGATCAGGCATGGGGTTTGAAGGTTCTTTTAAGCCAGGAGAGACATGGAGAAGAGGTACTGGGGAGAATACGAGATATCTGAGGCAAGTTTTGTCTGACAAGTTAGTTATTTTTAGTGAGACCATATTAGGCAAGTCATATAATAAAAGGAATGTACTAATTTGGAAAGCAGGTGGCTTTCACCTGCAATCCGGTCTAAGCCGCCTGGGCTATAGAATGAGACCTTGTCTCAAAAAGCAAGCAAAAAGAAAAATACAGAACCTTCAGTTTTGCAAAAAGAACTATTAGAACTGTGAAATTAGCTATAAAGGGTTTGTTGTCATTGTTTTTTCTTTTATCAGTGCAGTCATAAATGTGCTTAAAAGGCATCAGAACTTGTGTGCTTTATTTTGAGACAGGATCTCTTTCTGTACTTCAGAGACTGGCCTCAAATTCACAATCCTCCTGCCTCAGCCTGAGCGCTGGGACAGTAGGCATTGTATCGCTACACCTTGGCTTTAAACTTGATTCACTTTTGAAAGCATACAATGAGAACAAGTATGATTTCTCTCCTGTAGCTAAGCTGCCTGCTGCTGCTTGAACAGCACCAGTCTACATGGTTTGTATGTGGGTGGAATGCTGCAGATTTAGCCATTTGTTGCCAGTTAAATATTCAGGTTTACCAAAAAAAAGAAATTTTTTTTTGTTTTTGTTTTTTTGAGACAGGGTTTCTCCGTGTAGTTTTGGTGCCTGTCCTGGATCTCGCTCTGTAGCCCTCTGCCTCCCGAGTGCTGGGATTAAAGGCATGCACCACCGCCGCCCAGCTTAAATAATTTTTGTAGAAAGTTTTCACTTCCCCTCCGTTTTCCCCCCGAGTAGACTGGAAGCCTTTCGGAAGCCAGTCCATCCTGTCTGTAATGAAGAAAATCCTAGTATCAGAGACTCTCGAAAGTATCAGGAGCAAGAAAAAGATGTTTGCAGTCTTGATCAACGGTAGCTGAATGCGGTGTCCTGCGGTGTCCTGCTTCGGTGTTACTGTTGCATCAGGGGCTCTCGCTGGGTGCAGTTATCCAGTGTTCTAGAGGCTGGAACAGAGGATTGTGACTAATCTGAGGCCAGTCTGGGCTCCAGAGTGAGTTCTAGGAAAGGCGCAAAGCTACACAGAGAGACCCTGTCTCGAAAAACCAAATCAATCAATCAATCTGTGTGTGTGTGTGTGTGTGTGTGTGTGTGTGTGTGTGTGTGTGTGTGTGTGTATCAGTCCTGTTTGGTCAGCTGTACTGACAGAGCCAGGCTAAGATAGTTTCCTGCTTGTTAATCGGGGCCACGCAGATGAAGCAGGAGGAAGGATGACCCTACCTCGGGAAGTTCTGAATCGATGCTATTTATAACACTGTGCAGCGGACGGGAGAGCAGCTCTCTGCTCAGTGGCAGGAAAAGTTTCAGCCAGCCTTCACATTTGAGGAAGCGGTTTATGGAGCTGGCTGAGTGAAGCCTCTGTGAAAGGAAGGAAGAGCAAGGTGACTGTGCTGATCTGAGTCTAGGTCGTGGTGACAGAGATGTGGGAAATGCAGCTGGGGACAAGATAATGGAGGCCTTTGGATTGGGTCTCTTCAGCAGCCTGTGTGAAATCCTGGGTTGCTAACGGTTCAGCTGAAATAAGGGTATGTGAGGGCTAGTAGATGTAGCAGCAGAAGACAGGAGGAGGAAATTAGCTGCTGATGTGTTTGTGAATTGGTTCCTGTCTAGACGTGTAAATGTACTTTTTAATTACTGGATGCAATTCTGCTTCTGTGTGCTTTTTGTTTGTTTTGAAACAGGGTCTCACTATATAGCCCTGGCTGTCCTGGAACTCACTATGTAGACCAGGCTGGCCTCAAACTCAGAGAGCTCCTCTGCCTCTGCCTCTTGAATGCTGCCATTAAAGGCCTGCATCACTATGCCCAGCCTTATGTGTGATTTCTGTAATGTTACATTGGTCCTTGTTTCATTAAGAGAGAGTTTCATAAAGAATAGATTTATGAGTTGGAGGTGTATGTTGCTCAGTGATAGAGTGCTTGCCCAGCATGCATCAGGCTCTAGTACCACATACACAAAAAAAGAGTTGACTCATTACAAAATAATGTATATATTTTGCAAAGTATTAAATATAGCAGAGTATTAAAGCTGACAGCTGGAAATAGCATCAGGAATATTTTCTTAGTAGGATTGGCTTCATGGAGTTGAATTACAGGCACATTTTTTACAAATTCAATATAAATGAATTATTTAGTGCTGGGTGGGCAGTGTTCAGTGGAGTTTAAAGTAAGAAATGATGAAACTATGTTAATATTCCTGTCTCATTTTAATAGGATCATTCACGATACAGCTGTAACTGTTTTCAACAAAGATCAGTGATGAAAATTGTTGTTTTTAACAAGATACCTCCAAGTTAAACATGAAAGGAAAATACTGGAATCATTTCTGTTCTGACAAGATAAGGAAAACAGCATTTTCCAGCTAACATGTAATGGCAGCTTTCTGAGACCGTCCCTTGTCATGCACCCCACCGGGAACATGGATGTTGGCTTTACTCGGTCCTCCGTTCAGACCCTGTCCCGAAGTCACTGCAAAAACATCAAACAGAAGATTTCCCAGTGGGAAGGAAGGGCCAACGGTGTAGCTAAGCCAGCTAGGTTTCACCCCAAGGACTTTGGGGTAAGGTATAATAACTGCCACCAAGAGGTTCCTCCTCATAAACGTCCCGCTGGTGACGGAAGCAGCAACTCTCAGAACGGGGCTTTACCCAGGAGTGCAGATGCCGACAGCCATGATCAAAGTGAGCGTGAAGGCCAGCGGCGAGACTCTAAAGACGCCCATCCCGCAGAAACTGGACCAGACTCCAACCGGGTGTGTGCTCGGGTCAAACAGATTGAAAGCCAGAGAGATGTCGCTGTGGGTCCAGAGGCTTCGTTACCTCCAGGAAACTTCTATACCTCACAGATACTGTGGAAAAGATTAGAAGCGCTTCCCCCAGATAAAGTCTTGAATTTGGCTTTAGCCCCTTGTGACTCTACAGAGAAAGAACCGAATTTCAGAGTTCTGGATAGTTCTTATGGGATGACCAAGAGCTTGGAAAATATTTATTGTGAACCCGAGGGGCAGGAATGTGGACCCTCTATAAATCCTTTGCCCAAACCCCGTCGGACATTCAGGTATTTATCTGAATCTGGCAGTGTGCCATATAAAGAAAGAAACTGTGACCAAAAGTACTGTGAAAAGAATTCCTGTGCGGAGTCTTCTTTGCCTTCTTCTCAGGATCCTGAGCCAAAGAAATACGGTGGGAAGATCAGAGGGAGATCCAAAAGGTGTGTCTTCATCTTGCAGGTCGTGATTTGTAGTACGTGATTCTTGAGTGATTCCCCCGGTAATCCAAGTCTCCTTTCCCAGTGTGGAATCCAGGCTTCAGTTGAGCATGTCAGCATGCTGACAGCCTAGAGGGGAGGTAGGAGGGGGAAGCAGAAGTGTAGAAATACAGCTACCTTCTACCACCCAGGAGCATCGAGTGGCGTCTTCAAGAACTCCTAAGGCTGGGTAGGGTGGTACATACTGTATTTCTATTACCAGGAAGGCTGAGGCAGGAGGATCACCACAACTTTGAGGCTAGCCTGAGCTACATACATAGTGACTTAGAAACCAGCTTGACTTCCATAGCAAGACATTATCTTATCCCATTGCCCAACCCCAAAAGAGCTTTTAGATAAGCAGGTCCATTCTTTTACTTCATTTAGGACATGGTGGCCTCAGCCTCACTTTTAATTAAGGAGTAATTCTTGGGGCTGGAGAGATGGCTCAGCAGGTAAGAACACTGGCTGCTCTTCCAGAGGACCTAAGTTTTATTCCCAGCACCCACATGGCATCTCAGAACCATCTGTCACTCCAGTTCCAGGGGATACAACACCCTGTTCTGGCATTTATGGGCACCAGGCACACAAATGTTGTATAGACATGCTTGTAGGCAGAACATATAAAGTAAAAATAGTTACTTTAATTAATTAGTTTATTTATTTATTTATTTATGAATCTTCGAGACAGGGTTTCTCTGTATAGCTTTGGCTATACTGGCCTTGAACTCACAGAGATCCACCTGCCTCTGCCTCCTGAGTGCTGGGATTAAAGGCGTGTGCCACTATACTGGAGCATTTTTGTAATTTTACACACAAGTCTTTAAAATTTCTGTCTTCTCTTATCATTTAGAGATCACAGTTTTTGAAGGTGTAACTTGAAAATGTGTCTCCTTTCTTAAGGAAATCCTTTGAATTTGAAGATATTCAGCACTTTCGGAACTCACGGAAGATTCATGAAGAACTTGGGAAAAATGCTGGGTCAGCACTTTATTACACGCAGTCTGAGGATAATCTCTACGAGGATATTCTATGTAGGTGTCCATGCTTTGCAGTTAAATTTAATGAGTATTTGGTGATGCCCCTCATTGCACAGTGGTCTTTCCTTTACAATCAAACATCTTGTTTTAACTTTGTTTTTCTAATATGGAAACATCTGGTGTATAAAGTTTTTCATCATTAATGAGTTTTACAACTAGTATAATGGATGACTCAGTTGAGAAGTAAATGTTTACAGTATGGTGTTTTGAAAGTTCTTTAGCTTGGTTGAACATTGGAGTGATGTATAAACTTAAAATGCCATTCATTGCTCTTACGGCTTTACATCCCCACAAGAATGTGGATGTTCCTTACTGATAGCCACTGTTCCCACTCACATAAGTGTTCTTCTAAGCAGTGTTCATGTGGTTTTTAAAGATCCAGCCAAGGAAAATCCCTATGAAGATATTCCAGTGCAGTCTTTCCCCATTTGGAGATCCCCTTCAGCATGGAGGCTGCCACCTGCTAAGACGGCCTTCAGAGCACCCAAGGTATAAGGGAGGCTTCACTGAAGCACCCAGGAGACCCCTGTGCATGATCCATATAAAAGGTGGCGGTGGTTGAACTGGGGCCCAAACTAGGGGGCCCTGAAATGTAGATTTTGTTGTCTGTGGGGGTGTTTTGTTTGTTTTAAAGATTAGGTATGCAAGTTTCTTTTTAAAATTTCTTTGCTTTGCTATTGGTTGCTTAATCTTAGTGTTTCAAAAATAATTTAATATAAATAAGTTTAGAGTAGAGCTCTCTCAGCTTTTCTACTTGCAAGCCCTTTTCACCCAAGGGGAAAAATTGTTTTGAGAAAGGGTCTCGCCGTGTAACCCCAGCTGCTCTGGAACTCACTATGTAGACCAGGCTAGCTGTGAACCCACCGAGATTGCCTGCCTCTGCCTCCAGAGTGCTCAGATTAAAGTTCTGTGCCACCACACCCATCCACCCAGGAAATTTTTACATGACCACAGATATATAGGTATGTAATTGGTATACAGATTAAACCTTTGTTGATGATAAGTCATAAAGAAATATATTTTACAACAGTTTTTTGTATATATAGCATGTAATTTTACCATTTATTAAAGACAAAAGCAAATATGCGTGCTACTGAGATGGGTGTGCTTATTTTTACATAAAGGATTGAATCCTGGCTGGGTGTGTGGGAGGTGGATCTCTGTGCATTTGAGGTCAGCCTGGCTTACATAGTGAGCTGCAGACCAGCCAAGGCTGCGTAGTGAAACTCTGTCCCAACCCTGCCCCCTGCCCCCTGCAAAGGATTGAATCTTGGCTCATACTTGATGTTGTAGTACAAAATGACAGAAGTTCATGGCTATTACAGACATGGGAAATTCTGTCCTAACCCAAAACCAAAATTCATTTAATGATGTTTAAATGTTTTTATTATGTGTATGGGTGTGTATCATCTGCCTGTGGATATGTGCACATGAATGCAGGTGCCCTTGAATGCCAGCATGATCTGATTCCTAGGAGCTGAGTTACAGACCTTGTGAGCTGCCTGACATGGGGCTGGGACCTGAACTCAGGTTCTCTGGAGAGCAACAGCACTCTTAAACATTGAGGGATTTCTCCAGCCCCATCATTTAATTTTTTTCTTCTTTTCTTTTTGATTTTTTGTGACAGGGTTTCTCTGTATATCCCTGGCTGTCCTGGAGCTAGCTCTGTAGACCAGGCTGCCCTTGAACTCAGAGTTCCACCTGCCTCTGCCTCCTAAGTGCTGGGATTAAAGGCGTGTGACACCACTGCCCAGCTTCATTTAACGACTTTTTGAAACTCAAATTATCAACTCAAATAGCAATTTTAAAATCAAACATTCTAGCACAATAAAAATCCACTAACTTGAGACATGCTGAGGCACAGGAGCAGGGAAATATGGAAATCTTTGCTTTTCACAATTAAACTGTCATGTTTGCAAAGACGGAAAGGACACTGAGTGTGTGAGATGGAAACGGTGCAGGTTATAACACGCAGTAGTTTCACATCTGAACCAAGCGTGTAATGGAGGTGTATGACATGAAGCATGTGAGTACAAAGGGCATGTGCTGTGTGTTCAGAGCCGAGGCTGCAGTGAAGTCACCCGATGCAGCACACGTGAGCACTGCCAGAAACCACCTCAGATTCTTCATGGCCTGGAGAATTTAAATTAATTTTTGGTTGTTGGTGTTCAGAAACCTTTTACTGTGGCCGAATTTCTTATGACTCCCCCGTTCAGTTATCAAGTCAACAACCCATGGTTTAAGTAGCTGTGCTTTAGACAGGCTATGAACTTCTCAGTTCCCAGTGCTCTGTATATGTTCAGATCAGCCTGTGGCCTCAATTACCCACCCACTCCCTGCAAGCTTTGAGACCCGTTGTTTGAGTTGGTAGAGATGATGTGCTGTTATCCCTTGGGAATTTGATTATATCACAGGCCTTGAGCTTTGGATTAGAAACGGAGAAGCTACTTACAAGATGAGAAGAAATTGCAGAATCCCCATTTGGGATGGGTTTCAAGGAAAGATAAGCATTTTTCAGGGTAGTGTTGACTTTGATCGAAAACATAGGCATTACTAGAAACGATCTTATCTTACCAGTATGTCCCCTGTTCCAGCTTCCTCCAAAGCCCCAGTTTCTTCAGCGGAAGACTATGGAGCTGAAGAACTCTCAAGCTTACTTGCGATCAAAGCTCACCAAGGACACCACTTTGCCTGTCACGTTAACGGAATGGAAGCTTTTCCGAGCTGGAGAAGTGGTTAACAGGAAAAAGAGAAATCTCCCAAGGGTGAGGAGTCCAGAACATTCATTCTTGAAACTTTACCCCAGCATTTTAATAAGGGAGAATGAATAAGTGTTAGAACGAGCAGAGTAATAGGTTAGACCTTACCTGCTGGAGTTAGCTCTGGAAGGCAACCTTGAGTTTGGAATTTTTGCTCACTCAGGAAATGACACAGATGGCTTTGGTCGTTCCTCGAGGGTTGGAAACCTGATGTCAGTCAGGTTGAGGGCTTCACTTGAGGTGTCTTGGCTCTTGTTGATAATCAGCTGTCTGTCTCAAGGAGATGCCAGCCTCAAGCAAAAGGAGAGTCTGTTGATTCATTTCTTGTGCCAGAGTTTACAGATTTTCTATAATGATGAAGTATATGCCATTTATTAGGACTGAAATGGCCATTCAGAGGTGGGGAAAAGAAAACCAGACTACAATTTGGTACTAGACATTATCAAAAACATAGGAAATAAATGAATGACCTTGCCCTCAAGAGAGGGGAAGGGTAGTAAGTGCTCCTCCACCATTTTAACCAGAACTGGTAATAAAGCAGAATATTTTTTTAAATGAGATTACTTGTAGCCATATCTTTTAGGAGAGACATTTATAAGGTTATGTGAATTTTTTTTTTTAATTTTGCCATGGGTGTCCAGGTCCCCTGAAACTGGAGTTTCAGACAGGTGTGACCTGCCATGTGGGTGCTGGGAATTGAACTCAGGTCCTCTGGAAGAGGAGTCAGCACTCTTAACCCCTGAGCCGTCTCTCCAGCCCCCGAAAATATTTTTAAACTCTGTTTAATTAAGATGTTTTCAGGATTGATATAGTAGCAGTAATATGCATAATGAAGAAATCAGATCACTGAAATAGTTTTCCTTCCATAATTCCAGGTGGATTAGCTCATATATTCATTTAGCACATGCATTTTGTACCTGACTTTAACATTAAACAAAAGTCACAGCTGTTTCTTGGTTAGTGGCCACTGATTGGTTCCTTGGCAAATCTTGTGTTCCAGAGTTAATTTAATTCTTCTGGTCTGTTTCCTGTCCTTGCTCTTGGGCAGGCATCCTGCCGGAGCTTTCTCTCCAGGAAGATCGCTCTGGCACCCCCAGAAGCCTCTCCTGTGACTCCAGAACAGCAGATCATGTGTTCCTGGAGCAAGGATACAGACTCCTAAGGGATTCTGCTTGAGATTTCTAACCCTTGAAATGGCATTAGCAGCTGTTCAGGAATTTCAGACACTGGGGTTAAATGAGGGAGAGCTGGGGTGTGGCTCAGTGTTAAAGCTGTTGTCCATTAGTGTGAGGCTCTGAATTCAGTCCTCTGCTTCACAAAAGAACAAGCAAGGGACAGCCCAGGAGAGTCTGCGGGGCTTCCTGCCAATCACCTTCCGGTTTGGGCTACTTTATGTGCTTCTAATATCCGGAGGTGATTCACTTTCTGATAACCGGATAGGACCAACTCTTCCTTTTCTTTAAAAAAAAAAAAAAGAAGAAGTTGATACAAGGTCTCATATATCTCAGGCTGGTCTTGAAATCACACTCTGTAGCTGAAGATGACCTTGAACTTTTTTGGGGGTGGGGAGTTTTGTTTTTTTCAGGACAGGGTTTCTCTGTGCATCCCTGACTGTGCTGGAACTCACTTTATAGACCAGGCTGGCCTCGAACTCACAGAGATCCACCTGCCTCTGCCTCAAGTGCTGGGATTAAAGGCGTGCACCACCATCTGGCTATATCCCCAGATCTGTGTCATAGAATTTTCCCCAAAGTTTTTTTGGAAAATGAAGAAAAAGAAAATGGTGTTGCCTTTTTTGGGGGGTGGGGCACTCTCACTGTGTAGCCCAGGTTGGCTTTGAACTGCCATCCTCCTACTTCGGCCTCCATAGCTCGTTGGTGAGATTATAGGCAGGTGTCTGTCCTCATCCCCAACCTGGTGGTGTACTTTTGATTGCTGGCAGAAACAAGCCATTAACACTATTTATGACTCTCTAGAGTAAATCTCTTGAAGGGGCTGGAGAGATGGCTCAGCAGTTGGGAGCCATATTGCTCTTTTCAGAGGACCCAAGTTCACGTCCCAGCACCCACAATGTGCAGTTCACAACCACCTGTAATTCCACCTGCAGAGGATTTAACACCTCTGGCCTCCTCAGGCAGCTGCACTCACATGCACAAACCCACGAGTGCTTGCACCCATACATTTAAAAATAATAAAAATAAACCTTGCAAAAAGATTTTAAGTCCTTTTAGGGTATCCCAGATTCAGTATAAATTTTGGTGGGGTTTTGTTTCTTTGTTTGTTTTTGAGTATATTCAGGGACATACCATAAGAAAAGCAGTTTTCTTTAATCCCAGCACTTGGGAGGCAGAGGCAGGCGGATCTCTGTGAGTTCGAGGCCAGCCTGGTCTACAAAGCGAGTTCCAGGAAAGGCACAAAGCTACACAGAAAAACCCTGTCTCGAAAAACCAAAAAAAAGAAAAGAAAAGAAAAGCAGTTTTCATTTATGTCCCCCTCTCGGATGACCCCAGCTGTCCCTGGAAGGGACATTGCTTTCTGATCTAGTCCATATGCCTGGTCCCCACCCTTCCTTCCTTTCCCTGCTGTGGAAGCCTGTGTGGGATTGCTGGTGCCGTCCCTGGTGCTTTGTTGTTTGTGGCTGGCAAGTAAAGCAGCTGCTGTCGTTTCTGCTGTCCTACAGTGTGTGTGCTACAGCTGCAGAGGAGGTGTAGGCTCCTCATCCGAGCTTATAACCGGAATTTTAGGTTCCCTTAATCTGCTATTCCCAGAACAGTAGTTTCCTTCAAAATATGTGGGCATGCTTTTGCTTCTACTTTTAAGTCCACGTTAATATTTACTCTGTCCTAGGTGTTTCTGCAAACCTAAAACTTGTTTGCTCTCATAAATCTTTTCTGTAGTCTGTAGAAATACCTTTTTCTTTTGGATTTTCCTGCTTGCTTTTTTGTAAAGGCAACACCGAAGAATACTGGCGAGTTTTCACTTGAATGGCAGCTCTAGAAATCCTCTAAGAGAGCAAGTTCATCTAGAGATGTGAAGACCTGCCCATGTTTCTCCCCTGCTTTTTTAGTGGACTGATTGAGCTTGCTGCCTTAGGGACTGCCAAGTCCACAGGACCAGTGAAATCATGAACGCTCTCCTCAACTGTCTGGACCCCTCTGCACTGTGCGCTTACTGTTCTGTCTAGGTCGATAAAGCAAGATGAATACTTAAACCTGGAACCTTAAGAAAAGAGAAAAGTAGGCATGGAAAAGCTAGTCAGCTCCTTGTTTTAAAACGTCTGTTGATGTCACGGCTCGGAGGGACCCTTTCTTCTTTCCACCTCAGTCTCAGTCTGTGTCTCTCTCCTCTGACTCTCTTCCACACACTCACCTTTTCCCCAGTATTAGGAAAGAATTCTGAGTAATGCTTACTAAATAGAAGCAGCTATACAACGATTTAAAAATAAATGATCTGATTGCAGTTCTTGAGGTGTAGATTGATGAGTGGAGAGAGGGGAAGGCATAGTTTTGTATGGAATAATTGGAGAGTTTCCCAATTTTATGACATCTCTAAAATAAGTTGCAGCATTTATACCCACAGTGGCAAAGAGTGTGCTCCTTTTGACAGAAGCTCCAGAAGCGTGATTATCTCCTCTTGGGAGAAACTCCTGGAGCAGAAGAAGCTAAGCCCCACCCTGCAGTGGGTGGGTGACTGTTCCCTTCCTGCTCCGAGCAAGTGAAAACTTGAGCACTCTTATTCACTGTAGGCAGTGCAGGAGCACATTCCCTGCGTGTTGTGACATGAGGTGACACAGGATCTCCTCAGAAAGCTGTATGGGGTTCATCTGAAAGGGCAGGGTCCTCCACGCTTCCCTTCCCTGCTTGTAGACACTTTGAAAACACTCACCATTCAAGGATACCATTTTAATGCAAAATTGAAAAATGTGAAGGGTTTATTATTCAAAGAGGATTTCACATTAAAAAAACATTTACTGTATTAACACCAGTCATCAACGCCACCTTGGTGGTGGCTTGGACCACCGTCTTTCTAATTTTGTAATTATACCAGCTTTGTAATTTTCTTGTCTTTTTTTATCCAGCTCGTTTTGAAAATAAATGATACATTTGAATCCAAGCGAGGGAAGAAGAGGGTGAAGTTGCAGCCTTACACTGGAAAAGAGGCAGCCTCCTCCAAAGGTGAGAGCCGTTTTTGCTCATCTGTGTGTAGCTTCAGTGTGCTTGTTAGTTCCCTGCTCCTGTGACCAGGGTGTCCCGCAGGCACGAGTTAAGGATGGGGAGATTTGTTTGGCTCTCTATGTTGACCAAGCTGGCCTCAAACTCCTAGGCTTAAACCATCCTTCTTGTGTGGTCTCTAGAATGTTCTGGACTACAGGCATCCCATACCTGCTCAGGACAAGGTTCTGAAGAGTCACATTTTTGCTTTTTAAAAACTTATATCATTGGGGAAAAAACATTTCTTCTGTAATTAAATTGCTAACTTCTTGCACCAAAAACAAAACAAAATTAATCAAAAAGGAACAGTCTCTAGACGTTCCATGTCAAGCTTTGTTTCCTTGGTAGCTTGAAGACAGTTAGTGTTGCCCCGGCTTCTGAGACAGCCCCTCCAGTGAACCCGAGGAGTTCCATGTGTCTGAGGATCTCCTAACTGGATGTCAGCAACGCCCATGGGCCTGGATGATTACGTATGGCCGCGCCGCACTTTCGCACTGGGTTTACTTGACTACCTCCAACCTGAGCATTTCTTAACTTCAGTCTCAGCTGTTAACAAATGACACTGCCTTTCTTCAACTTCGTCATTATAATTTCGTGTGTTGAAATCGAAGAGAGACAACCCAGGCTTTTCGTACTCCTTCAATCTCAACAGGTTTTATTTTTCAGCTGGGTGATGTGACTCATGCCTTTGATCCCAGCACTCGGGAGGCAGAGGCAGGTGGATCTCTGTGAGTTTTAGGTCAGCCTGGGCTACAGAGTGAGTTCCAGGACAGCCAGGGCTACATAGTGAGACCCTGTCTCAAAAAGCCAACAACAACAACAAAGAAAGATTTTATTTTTAATTATGTGTATGTGTGCCACATATGTCCAGGTGCCGAAGGAGGCCAGAGTGAGTGTAACTCCGCAGCTGGAGTTACAGGTGGTTGTGGGTCCCCTGACAAGGGCACTTGGAATCCAATCAGACTCTATCCTTAGGAAGAGCAGAGAGTGCTCCTAATCATTGAGCCACCTCTCTACCCCTCATGACTTTTTCTGTATAAGGAGTCTCATATTATTCAGATTTTATCCTGTGCTTTTCTTTTAAAAAGACTTAATTAATGCACCTCAAAATTCTCTCCATATCAACATGTAGAGACCTGAAAACTCTGCTGTACTTCATGATACAGAAATGAAAGTCCCAGTTCTGGATGCTTATGCTGATCAGTGAGACCCTCAGTCCATCCCCAGCCCTTCAATGTTTTCAAATCTAGTTGGTAGACATTTTGGTTGTTTCTAACATACTTAACCTATGGAGAGAAACTGTGTAAAGATTTACACATATATTCAAAGAACATTGCAGTGCTCATGTTTTACTTGTTTTTGTGTATGATATTTGTGAACTAAGTTCCTTGTAGTAGACTCACCTGATTAAAGAATATATGGACTTGTGCCGGGCGGTGGTGGCGGGTGGTGGTGGCACACGCCTTTAATCCCAGCACTCCCGGAGGCAGAGTCAGGCGGATCTCTCTGAGTTCAAGGCCAGCCTGGGCTACCAACTGAGTTCCAGGACAGGCACAGAGCTACACAGAGAAACCCTGTCTTGAAAAAACAAAACAAAACAAAACAAAAAAGAATATATGGATTTAAAACAGTTCTAGTACTTGAGAGACTGAGGCAAGAGAATTCTGTGAATTCAAGGCCACCCTGGGTTATGTGGTGAGTTCCAGAACAGACTGAGCTGCAGAGTGGGACGCTGTCTCAAAGAACTAAAATCAAACATTTTAATAGCTGTTGCCAAATTGTCTGGCAAACAGCTGGTAACATCCTGTTTCTGCACACAACATTTGAACATGCTTTCCCATGAGCTTCATCAGGGAGGTTCATAGTTTTTTGTTAATGGTTAAAATGTATTATTTTATTTATTGTTTTACTTATTTTCATTATTAACTTGGGAAAGTTTTCACATTTATCCATATTTTGTATATCTTTTCTGTGGATTGCCTATTCCTAACCATTTATCTTTTTTTTCTGCCATCGCTCTTTTTCTTATGTGTGTGAATGTTCCAGACTTTCTTTTTTGGGGGGCCACCAAGCAGCTCCCAGATCATGACATGGAGACTTACGTTTTGAATGCTCAGCCTAGCTTAGGCTTGTTTCTGGCTAGCTCTTTTAACTTAATTAACCTGTTTCTCTATCTCTGTTTTTGCCTCAGAGCTTTTGACCTTCTTTCCTTCTGTCTGTCTGCTTTCACTGCTTCTCCTGTCTGCTGGCGGTGCCTGGCTGGCCTCGGGGTCCCCCTCACTCTCCCCTCTTCTTTTGTCTCCTTCCCTTGTTTTTCCTGAGCTTAAATTTTTCCTCCTGTTTTATTCTCTCTGCCCACCAGCCCCGCCTGTCCTTTCTCTGCCTAGCTATTGGCTGTTCAGCTCTTTATTAGGCCAATCAGCTGCCTTAGGCAGGCAAGGTGAGACAAATCCAACACATCTTTACATAGTTAGACACACATCCTTACATGGTTTAAAAAATGCAGCATAAACAAAAGTAACACACCTTTACACAGTTAAAGTAATATTCTGCAGCATAAACAAAGGAACACATCTTTGCCCAATTACAGTAATATTCCACAACATATGTATGTACATGTGTGCATGTTTGTGTGTATGTGTGAACATTTGTGTACATAGATGTGGAGGCCAGGCGGTTCAGTCTACCTTGTGTTTTGAGACGGAGTTTTGGACTGGCCTAGACCTCACTGAGTAGGCGATGCTGGTTGGCTAGTGAGTCCCAGGGGTGGGATTATAAGCGCCCACCGCTGTAGCTTGCTCTTTACGTGGATTCTGGGGATCAGACTCAGCTCCCCTCATGTTTGTGCTGCATGAATTTTATGCACGATTCTTCCTCGCCCATGTGCTTTTTTCCATTTGGGTTGTAATGGCTAGTCAAATATTAAGAAACTTAGTTTTCATCCAAACACAGTGGCTCGTGCTTTTAATCCCAGCACCCAGAAGGCAGAGGCAGGAGGATGTCTGTGAGTTGAGGCTAGAATGGTCTAGAACAGAGATACTCTGGCTCAAAAAAACAAAAGAAGAGAGAAACTTAGTTTTAAGCTACCAGACGTGGTGGTGCTTCTCCATAATCGCAGCATTTGGAGGCTGAAGAAAGAGGGTTATCCCCAGTGCGAGGGCAGCTTGTGCTGCCCAGTGAGTCCATGCTAGTCTGGGCTACAGAGTGAGACCTGTCTCCAAAAACAGTAAAGAAGAGAAAAGGTCTGTGTCTTTGGTACGCTTATAAGTATTTTCCCAATTTATTTTCCAGTTTTTGAGTTTACTGCTGAGTTTTGTATCAGATAGAAAAATTGCAGTTTTTTTCTTCCTGGGTTTTGAAACAGTGTGTCCTGCAACTCAGGTTGTCCTAGAACTCACTGTGTATAGCTGGAGCTGGCATTAAACCCTTGATCCTCTTGTCTCTCAGGTATGAGGTTACAGGTGTGGCCACCAGGCCTGACTACATTTCAACATTATATAATCAAACTTACAAATAGTTTTGACCTGTGAATGTTAGCCTCTGATTTTCCCGATATAAAGATTTTTCTCGTTTTACAGTTTTTAGTTGGCTTTAGCTTATTAGACCTAATCTAGAAGTTCCTAAAAAAAAACAATTTATTACATTTTGGTTGTTGTTGTTGTTGTTGTGTGTGTGTGTGTGTGTGTGTGTGTGTGTGTGTGTGTGAGTGTGTGCTGTGTAAGTGCCATGGTGTGAATTTAGAGGCCAGAGGACAATTTTTGAGAGTTGGTTGTCTATGTGGTCCTAGGATTAAACTTACCAGCTTTTTTTTTTTTTTTTTTTTTTTTAACCCTCTCTTTTTTGAGAAACCTCAATATGTAGCTCCCTGCCTGGCCTGAAACTCCCTATGTAGACCAGGCTGGCCTCAAATTCACAGAGCTCTACCTGCCTCTGCCTCCCAAGTGCTAGGGCTAAGGGCAAGAACCGTCATACCCAGTGAAGTGTTTTAATGTGCTTATTTAAAGCCATTTCTGAGGGCTGCACACACTGTGTAAGAGTGATGCTCTTCTGCTGAGTGCCTAGCCTTTTTTTTTTTTTTTTTTTTTTTTTTTTTTTTTTTTTTTGGTTTTTTCGAGACAGGATTTCTCTGTGTAGTTTTGGTGCCTGTCCTGGATCTCACTCTGTAGCCCAGGCTGGCCTTGAACTCACAGACATCCGCCTGGCTCTGCCTCCCAAGCGCTGGGATTAAAGGCGTGCGCCACCAACCGCCTGGCCTTAGCCTTTTTAAAAATCTTTCACTCTTCTATCTTTTGGTAAATTATATTTTCAGAATTATGGTATAGAACACTCCATTGGTAGCCAGGGTACACAGCCCCTACATTCAATCATTTGTAACACACCCCCCTAACACTCCCTTGTGAGAAGAGCGTAGCCCCTAAAATATGAGTGGGAAAAATAAGAACCGTTCAAAGCGGTGCTATGGCTGTAGACTTGAGAGCAGAGGGGCAGGCGGTGTGATTACAGTGGCTAGTGGAACCAGAGAAAAGGTCCCCCTGGTCCTCTCTCACAGTGACCACATTTCGTAGTCTAAATTCATGGTATTCAGAGATTTGCTCTTCACCCTAGTGTTAGTACTTTAAAGCTGTGCAGACAGGTATTTGAATGAAAAATAGACCTCACTCTGAACTAGACTTAGAATTATCCAGAAAGCTGGTTAAAAGCAGCTGAGGCAAGCATGGAGGGAGATAGAGGTGAGTTCCTTCATGACCTTTTACATTAGTCCCTCCTCACCACTTCCGGGGTCACTTTCTGTAGCTGCAGTTATCTGTGGTCAGCTGAGATTTGAAAGTATCCAATGGAAAATTCCAGAGAAACTGAAAAGCTTCAGGTTGAGCACTGCTCTGAGCAGCATGGTGGAGGTGCCATCGGTCCTGCTGCTTCTTGCCCAGGATGTGAGTCAGGCCTTTGTCCTGTGTGCTCTCTCTGTGTGCCACCCACCCGCCAGTAGCCACGCAGGCCTTCAGATGAACTTCCCTGAATCACAGAGCTTGTGTTCAAGCCTCCCTTCCACAGGAGCCCGGTGCATCATAGTGCCTCCATCGTTCCTCCCTTCCACAGGAGCCCGGTGCATCATAGTGCCTCCATCGTTCCTCCCTTCCACAGGAGCCCGGTGCATCATAGTGCCTCCATCGTTCCTCCCTTCCACAGGAGCCCGGTGTATCATAGTGCCTCCATCGTTCCTCACTTCATTTCAGCACATAGTCCCCAGTCCCAAATGTCACCCCAAGAACTAGGTTAAGTACAGTGTTAAAGTATCGGGAGAGAGAGCCATATTCACATAACTTTCATCTATGTATTATAATTGCTATATTTTGAAATCAGTTATTAATCTTTTACTATGTTTAATTTATAAATGATCTCACAGACTCCTACAGCAAAATCCCCCTAGTTATGTAGGGTTCAGAACTGTCTGTTTCAGGTCCTCTGCAGACAAGGAGGATCTCCTGTTTTGTCCTGTGCTCTCTTTCAACAGCTCTGCTAATTTAACCTTTACTAACTTGACCCTCATCCCTCATCGAAGGCCCAGACGGTGGCCTTGTCCTCATCCTCATATGCTTCCTACTAGTAGACAATACAAACGGAAACTCTCTCTCTTCCCTTTTCCAGGTGAAACCAGTGGGAACGAGAGTGATGCAGAGTACCTGCCAAAGAGTGAGTGAGTCAGCGGCCTGCTCCCTCCCGTGATCCTGGCTCCGGGCAGAGCAATGCCTGCCTTTGTGATTAAGCATGTTTTCCCCCATGTGAAGTTCACTTCATAGGCCATTGCTTCATTCTCAGACCCTGTTGAGATTTGCGGAGCTAAATAGTCCATTCAGCTGTTTGACAACATGACAAATCCCTCCTAGTGGAGTGAGGTGAACCGGGGTGGTTCTGAGGACGAGTTCTGGAGGGAGCAGGGTAGCATCGCATGTCCAGACATGTGCAGTTTGTAGCAGCCAACAGTGTGTGAGTCATCCCCACCAACAAGACTCAGCCCAAAATAGCTGATTTTTCTCTAGTAACCCAAGCGTAAGTGTCAAGTGCATTTTCTGTCTCTGCCATTAAGAAAGGACATAGATATTTACATATAGGTACCTCTATTCCAAATTATATGTAGTTCCTATCAGGGTTCAGAATCCATGCACTTCTGGCTCTTCCTTGTACAAGCACTTAATGAGCTCTGTATCTTCCTCAGACAGTTGTCACAGCAGGTTTTGTTTTATTTCGTTGTTTAACTGGCTGACATACAGCAACACTTTTAAAGAGCAGGAGTCACAAGTTATCAAAGCCGAGCGGAGGGCAGCCCCGACACCCGTCTCATGAGTAATAGCCTTGTGCTTCTCCGCTGGCCTAAATTGCTCCAGGTTTTGGATGTTGTAGCCTGACTAAAGATGAAACTTAGAGCGTCATGGGGTTCAGCACTGATGTGTAAGGATGACTAATTTATTGCAGTTGCTAATGAGAAGCAAGACCCGAATGTGTCTTGACTTGAACTCAGCCCTTTGGAGGGTCGGCACACCTTTTCCCACAATATCCAGGAAACGGTATTTCTAGGGAAACATTCCTGGTTGTGTTTTTGCAGAGTTCTTAACATTTTGATCCACAGTGGCAAAAGTCATCACATCTGCGGGAGGGGTGACAGTCTCAATATGGTTGTGATTTGCATTTTTCTGATGGCCAACAGTGTTGAGCATTCTGTCACATACTTTTTTTGGCTCTATGTATCTCTTGGTTGAAAAGTGTCTGTTTGGTCTGTTGCCTAACAGTTGAGCCATTATCTACTTGGTTGTGTTTTGTGTGTTCTAGGTATTCATCTTCTGTCAGATGAATACTGGGCACAGCTTTTCTGTTCAGTGGCTGGCTCTTCCCTTTTTCTTTTGCTGCGCGGACGCTGTTTACTTTCTTGCAGTCCTTTTATCCATTCTTGCTCTTCCGTCCTGAGCTGTCTGTGTCCTATTCAAAAGTCACTGTCTGTATCTTGAAGTGTTTCCTGTGACTTCGTCCCACAGGTTCAGAGTGTCTTACATTAAGGTCTTTGATCCATTTGAATCGTTTTTATGGAGTGATAGGGGTCTAGTTGCGGCCTTTCCTATGTGATGGATATTCAGTTTTCTCAGCATCATTTATTAAAGATGGCTTTATTGTTAGTTCTTCTGTCCCAGAGGTCTACATGGTTAGTTTTTAAAAATGATTTCAGATTTATTATTTTTAATTATGTGTTATCAGTGTGGGAGTATGTGCATGTAAGGTCAGGTACCTTGCAGAGGCTCGGGGTGTCAGAAGCCCCTGGAGCTGGAGTTACAGGCTGTTTTGAGCCACCTGATGTGTTGGGAACAGCACATGCTCTTACCCACTGAGCCATCTTTTATTAGTAATTCATGCCAAGGAGGAGAAGGGAAGGATGGGTTCTTTGATGTGAGGTTGGCTTTGGTTTTGGTTTTCCCTGCCTGCACTTGGTCTCTGTGTAAGACTTGGTTCTTCTATGAAGTCCTCCCCATTTCCATGCTTGCACGGCATTACCAGAAATGGCATCTTTTGTCAGTCTAGTATTTTTCCTAGACATTTTGTATGTGTCCTGGTGCACTGCCATGAAGGATATATGTAACACATACATAGAGTGTGTTATACATATACAGTACGGCAATTAGGATGTCAGTCCCACTGCTTGCCGGGGTGGAAGAGGACCCCTGAGCATTTTCCCAAACAGGAGTATTTGTGTAGAAGAGTATTTGTGTACTTATCTGTCTTCATCCAACAAGTGACCACAAAGGCTTCTCCCAGTGAGAGCCAGGACTTGTGGGGCTAGAGGGAAGGGCACCGGGAACCTGAAATGTGACCTCATTGCAGATCGCCACAAGCGCTTAGCACAGCTGCAGCAGCCCTCCAAGAGGAACCCCCACTACCAGACCTTGGAGCGGGATCTGATCGAACTGCAGGAGCAGCAGCTCTTTGAACTCTTCGTGGTGGTGTCTCTGCAGAAGAAGCCATCAGGGACAAACTACATTCCCCAGGTCATACAGCAGTTCCCTAGCAAGGTGGGTGCAAGGTGGCCAGGAAGCGTCGGGAAGGTTCCTGTTTGCTCCTCATGTGGATTTCCTCTTGCTTGCTGTTGTCTCTGCCAGTTTTTACCAACACTGAGACAGGATCTCACCCAGGTTCTCCTTGAATGGACAGTCCTCCTCCTTCAGCTTCCCACGTGCTGGGAGCCGCCAAGCCCAGCCTGGCTGTCACTCACACTATTCGTGGGTTTGCTCTGCCTGTCTCACAAAGGTGATTCTCATATAGTCACCTATTCCAGCACTTGCAGTCTGTGGGTCTGCACTTGACCCCTTGAACTCTGGCCTGTAATCCCAGCACTTATAAAACCCATTGCAGGTTCACAGACCACACATGAAAGGAAAAAGGTTTCCATTTTAATTTTTACATTTGGTATTCTCCCCACCCCCGACAGGGTTTCTCTGTGTAGCCCTGGCTGTCCTGAAACTAGCTCTGTAGACCAGGCTGGCCTTGAACTCATAGAGTTCCACCTGCCTCTGCCTCCCAAGTGCTGGGATTAAAGGTGTGCACCATCATCACCTGGCTATTTGGTATTCTTTTAGTCTGTTTAGTTTTGTTGGTTTCTTGTTTGTTTGCCTGGCTTGAGGAGACTTTTTATTGTCTGTTTGTTTTTGAGGTGAACGTTAGTTCTCTTCTATCTTGTGGTTTCTACGGATCAAATTTGGGTCATCAGGCTTGGCAGTAAATGCCTTTATCTGCTGAGCCGTCTCACTGGCCCCCTGAACTTTTTTTGTATTTTCTATTTAATTTTCCTCACTATTGCTCAAAGAACCTGTCCTCTGTGACTCGTGTATCCAGCGTGGATGCGGAGGGACTCTTTGGAGATTCTCTCGCTTTCTCCTTTGTTACTTGCACCAGATCACTTCTTAGGTTTTTAGAGACAGTTTTGTTGTGTAACCCAGACTGGCTTGGAGCTCTGTAGCTTAGGCTGGCCTCATGCCTCAACCTCCCATGAGCCACCATGGCCAGGTAATACCTCATATTCAGGGTAAGCACTTGGCCACTCCAGGACTGTGGATCTGTGACCCTGGATTGCAAGTGTTTCACCAGAGCCACTAAAACACAACTGTACTGGTATCTAAGATGTTTCCTGCATGTGTTCCCTTTCTAAATGCCTCAGCACCGCTAGGTGTGGTGATATGCCTGTAATCCCAGCACTTACGAGGTAGAGGCAGGACCATCAAGAGTTTGAGGCCAGCCTGGGCTATGTAGTAACACTTATTTCAAAGAAGAACCTGCAGAAGGGAAGAGGAAGACCTTAGAAACATCCCAACATGGCTAGAGAGATGCCTCAGAGGTTAAGAGCACTGGCTGCTCTTCCAGAGGTCCTAAGTTCAATTCCCAGCAACCACATGGTGGTTTACAACCATCTAGAATGAGATCTGGCGCCCTCTTCTGGCTTGTAGGCATACCTGCAGGCAGAACACTGTATACATAATAAATAAATCTTTTAAAAAAGAAAGAAAGAAAGAAAAAGAAACATCCCAACAGTAACTGTATAAATCAAATTTCTCATAAAAAATTTTAATGTCACCTAGGAATGCTATTTCTCAGCAAATGATACTATTCTAGTCTAAATAAATATCCTTGAGTAATGTATCTAGAGGAACTTTTTTTTTTTCTTTTAAACATTCTTTAACTGTAGTCTAGGTTAGTCTTCAGCTCGATGTGTGTCTTAGACTGGCTCTAACCTAATGACCCTCTGCCTCAGCCTCCCAAGTATTAGGATTACAGACATGTGCCACTCACTATGCCTCACTTAGGAAGACACACACACACACACACACACACACACACACACACACACACACACACACACAGAGAGAGAGAGAGAGAGAGAGAGAGAGAGAGAGAGAGAGAGAGAGAGTTTTAATTAATTTTATAGCAAAGCTAAGCTTAGATTAATAGGGATAGTACCAGAGAAGGGCACACTTACTTCAGCAGACGAATCAAGAATGCCTCCAGTGGTGGGCCTGGAAATTGGCTCAGTGGTTAATAACTACTCTTGCAGAGGACCAGAGTTCAGTTCCCAGCACCCATGTCAGATGGCTCACAAACACCTCTTGATCCAGAAACCAGGAGTCCAGTGCCCTCTTCTGGTCTCTACAGACAACTGCAGTCATATGCACATACCCACACAGGGATACACAGGCATACACATAGTTAAAAGTAAAATAAGTAAATAAATAAAAAAGAAGGCCCCCAAGTAAATGGCTTGCTGTTTTGTGCCTCAGATACCCATCAGTTGGGGGGTGAAGCGAGCCCTGTGGAGCCCTGTCTAGACTGGTTATGGAACACCTTGGCTGAAGATGATTGGGACCACACCATGTTACAGCTAACAACATGTGTGAGGTGCTTTTTTTCACATCCAGTGCTGGGATCAAGGCCACCTCTATGGTAGGCAGGTGCTCTGGAAGCTGAACTCCCAGGCCTGATGCTGTCCTGTTGTTTTTAGAGAGGGACATCCCAGTGACATAGAATACGTGCATTTTGTTGTTTTTGTTGTTGTGTTTTGTTTTTCAAGACAGGGTCTCACTATGTAGCTCTGGTTGTTCTAGAACTCACACTGTAGACCAGGCTGGCCTCCTGACTGCCTCTACTTCCCAGGTGCTGGGATTAAAGGCATGTGCCACCACTGCCTGGCTTAGCATATTTTTTAGTTTTTTGGTTGTGGCCTAGCCTTTAATGGCTGAGCCATCTCTCCAGCCCTGATGCATATTTTTTAAAGAAAGATGTATAGAGAACTTTGGTTAATTCTTGTAAAAACAATATGCTCATAAGACTTTTGTGCTGGTTTTTATGGATAGTCCTACTCAGTTTCTGAGTGTCTTTTCATTGAACTAAATTTAGACTACATTTTGAAATACAATGCCACTTTGTTTGTTTGTTTGTTGTTATTTTGAAGCAGGGTCTTATGTAGCCCAGGCTGACCTTGAGTTCTCTATGTAGACAAGGTTGGCCTTAAATTCCTAATTCTCTTGCCTCTACCTCCCAAGAACCAGGGTTACAGGTGGGCAGCACCAGGCCTGGCCTAACCACACTTTTGTAAGAGTCTTCCATGCTAAAATTTTACAGGAAGTTGCAAACCTGTAATTAGGTAGCAAAGCTAAGGGAATGATTATATGCAGAGTAACATTTAAAAATAGCATCTTTCTAAATAACATTCATCTGCCTTTTTAAAGTTCCTTGATTATGAATCAGAGAATGCTTTGAGCTGCCTGGGTTTTTGTTGTGTATAGAAGGGATTTTTGTTTATCTTAAATTCCATGATTCATAAAATACTGGCCTCCCGCTAGCGTGAGAATCCTGAGTCTAGATTCTCCCTGGCTGAAAAGCTCTTTGGCGTTGCCTCCCTTACTATGTATATATAGATTATAGAGTCTTCACCAGGGTCTTCACAGGTTCGCTGCTGTCTCAGATGGGATTCTTTGTTCTCAGTGTCTGCCCTCGATGCACAGTCACGGATTTTCAGTCTTCTCCTTCCTTACTGTTCAGCAGTACAAAGCCACACTGCGGGAAACCTCTACACGACCCATCAGGCTTCCCCAAGACCAGACTGAGGAGTTTTGTTTTGTTTTGTTTTGTTTTGAACTTCTGTTACCTATTTCATAGGTTGATGTTCTGTGGTGTTATCTTTTTCAGGGTGATCATGGCTATAAGCAATCCAGAGACACTGAAGAGAGACTCAAAGTCATCCCCAAATTTTGTTTTCCTGATTCAAAGGACTGGGTGCCAACCTCAGAACTCAAGAGGTAAATCGGCTCCTTCTGATTTCAGTTTGCTGGAACTGTGCATAGAATCAGTTTGTGACGAATGGGTAGAGTCCGGAGTGGAGCTCCAGGAATGAACAGGGGTGGACCTAGCTGCAGTGGGCCGGGGTGGGGAAGATATGGAACGTTTCCTACGAGAGCTCAGCAAACACAAAACACAAGTTTGTGCATCTCCTTAGCTCAAAAGTTCTGCAGAGCAAGATGGGTCCACATCACCTGCTGTAAGAAATGGCCCAGAGTAGGCGGGAGGTGGGGACAGGACACGGCGGTGACTACACCTGTATCTCAGGGGTTAAACCTAGAAAGAGCAGAACAGAACAATTGTCATTGTCTTATTTCTCCTTCAAGCTCATAGACAAAGCCACAGCCTGGATTCTGTGTTCCCTTGTGGGCCCTGCACAGATGGAGACTCCAACTTGATAGGTGTGGGTAACGGAAGCATTAAAGAGCTGTGTGGGGCTGCAGGGATGGCAGATGGCTCAGAGTTAAGAGCAAGTGCTACTCTTGCAGAGGACCTGAGTTTGGTTCCCAGTACCTAAGGTCCAGTGCCTCACAGCTCCCTGGAATCCCAGCTCCAAGAGGATCCCACGCCTCTATTCTCTAAGGGCATCTGTACTCACATGTGTACACTTAAAGTAATAAAAATAAATCTTTAAAAAGGAATTTAGTTAAGGTATCTAGAGGAAAATACCAATTTTAGTTTCTAAAACCATTATCACTTCCAAATCCTGCTTTTGTTTTGTTTTGTTTGGTTTGGTTTTTGAGACTGAAAATGTGGCCCTGCCTGGCCTAGAACTTAATATGAAGACCAGGGTGGCTTCAGACTCACAGAGAGTCACTGGCCTGTGCCTCCTGAATGCTGGGATTAGAGGTGTGCCCCGCCACGCCTGCCTCCAGTCCTGCTTTGTAAATCAGTACCTTCTTTACACCATAATCTGGGTGTGTTAAAATATGTCTGTACTCATAGTTCCTCAGGGGTCCTAAGACAGGAGTCACTTGAGCCCAAGGTTGAAGACCAGTGTGGAAAACAGTGAGACTTTGTGCAAAACACAAACCAGCAAGGGCCAGGAGAGATGGCTCAGTGGTTAAGGTCACTGGCTGCTCCTGCAGAGGACAAAGGTTGGCTTCTCAGCACCCACACAGCGGTTTACAACCAGCTGTGACCCTAGACCCAGAGGATCGGATGCCTTCTGGCCTTCAGGCACTGCATACATGTGGTACACAGACATTCATTCAGGCAAAACATCTGTACACATAAAATTAAAAAAAAAAATAAAGAAGCAAGGAAAACTAAATTGTAATGATTAATTATGCCTTTCAGGTGAAAAAGCCTGTGTAACTGAACCATGTCGTATGTCGATGACCTGTTAGATGATAGTCTCAGCTATTGCCCTAATAGTCCTGCCTCACCTCGAGGCCTGGCCCCTGCCTCCCATAACCGGTTGAGCCTGAGCACAGCGCTCCATCTCTCAGCTGTCAGCGTTGATGCTCTGTGCTGTCACATGCACGGCTAGCTTGTGCAGTCTCTCCCACGGGCCTGCTCTGGTTGGCTTCCTCCTGCAATGCGTATGTTCTAGAATGTTTAGGAAATGCAGAAGAGTAAATCAAAAGCCAAGGCGGTCTGACTGCTCAGGAGTCACCACTGTAGATCAATCCTTTCCAATAATTTTTATTTTACCGTATTTGAATACAGATTCCTCAGCTGCGTAGATGGCCTAGAGAGGAAGCACTGGCTGCTCTTGCGCAGGACTAGGTTTGATTCCGGCATCCATTGAGCAGCTCACAACCAGCTGAAATTCGGGCTTGGAGGACCTAAGGCTCCTTTTGGTCTCTGTGGGCACTGTACATAGTGCTGCACAGATGTTTATGCAGGCAAAACATTCATACACAGAAAATAAGTTTAAATATTGATTCACTATTCAAATTGGAGGTTCTTTGATCATTAAGTGAGTTTCTTTTGGGAGCATCTTTGGGTATTTTGTAAGGGTTTTTTTTTTTGTTTTATTTTTGTTTTTTTGGGTTTTTTGTTTTGTTTTGTTTAATTTGTTTTTGTTTTGTTTTGTTTTTTCAAGACAGGGTTTCTCTGTGTAGCTTTGCGCCTTTCCGAGAACTCACTTTGGAAACCAGGCTGGCCTCGAACTCACAGAGATCCACCTGCCTCTGCCTCCCGAATTCTGGGATTAAAGGCGTGTGCTACCACTGCCCGGCAAAAGTGTATGGAACCATGCTTGGCTTAAAATGGCTTTTTTTTCCCCCCCTGGAGCTGAGGACCGAACCAGGGCCTTGCGCTTGCTAGGCAAGTGCTCTACCACTGAGCTAAATCCCCAACCCCCCTTGTTTAATTTTTTGGTTTTTTGAGATAGGGTTTCTCTGTGTAGTCTTAGCTATTCCAGAACTTGCTTTATACACCAGGCTGGCCTTGAACTCACAGAAATCTACCTGCCTCTGCCTCCCAAATGCTGAAATTAAAGGCATGTGCCACCACTCCCAGCTGTGATGTTCATTTTTGGCTCATATTTAGAAGGAGGAGTTAATATTTTTCCTGTTGATTTGTATATGTCAAGGATATAATCTAGCAGGGCAGTGGTGGCACACGCCTTTGATCGCAGCACTTGGAAGGCAGAGGCAGGTGGATCTCTGTGAGCTCAACAGAGTGAGTTCCAGGACAACAAGGGCTACACAGAGAAACCCTGTCTCAAACAACAAGGAAAAGGGTATAATCTTTTTCCCATCCCTGTGTGTGGATGAGAAAGAGAAGGGCATGCATATTCCTGTAAGAGGTTAAAGGACAGCGTTGTTCAGTCCCTGCCTCTGCCTTGTCTGAGACAGGGCTCCTCTTCTACGCTGTTCATGTCAAGCTAGCTGGCCTTGGAACTTCTAGGGTTCCCCTGTCCTGCCTCCCATCTCACTACAGGAATGCTAAGATTGCAGATGCATGCTTATGCGTCCAGCCTTGTGTAGACATGTGGGTCTGTACCCAGGCCGTGCTGTGCACCAGGCACTCTCCAGTGAGCCGTCTCTCCAGTCCAGGATCTAGACTCTCTTCTGTCACTGTTCCATATGGCCTCTCAGAACCAAACACAGAAGAATTTGCAAGGAAGAGTATCCATTACCAAAATCCTTTATAGCTTGATTAGCTGTATATTTGGCTAAACTAGATGTTCAGCAAAAGGAGACCACAATACCAGCAGCTTATCCCATACCCACTGACGCACCTAGGACAAGGCCTGGGGTGCTCTGTGGGAATGTGACTTGAAATAAATGAGTATTTCTGCTTCCTCTGAGATCACAAAGGGACTCCTTGGTCTGTGAGTAATGTCTTAAGCAGCTGTTTTTGTTTCCAGTGAAACATTCTCCTTCGTGTTGACTGGCGAAGATGGAAGTCGGTGGTTTGGTTACTGTAAGAAGCTTTTGGTGAGTACCAGATTGGTGCCAGAGTCGGTTAAGGAACAAGAAAGGCCTACTAGGAACTTGAGGAGCACTGTCTCTCTATGACTTTAAGGGCTATTTAATTATGTGCACGTCCAGGAAGCTGCATTAGGCTTGGCATGGCTCAGTGGTTAAGAGCACTGATTGGTCTTCCAGAAGACCCAGGTTTGACTCCCAGCACCCATGGAGAATGTGGCTCACAGCTATCTGTTAACTCCAGCCTCAGGGGATCTGATGCCCTCTTCTGGCACTTCACGGGCACTGCACACACATGGTGTACAGACATACACGCAGGCAAGACACCTATACACATAAAACAAAACTGGAGTTTTTAAAAAAGAAGCTGTGCTGTTAGTTTACATAGCAGGAGCGAGGTGAAGGTCGGAATAGAAAGGCTGAGGGTTTCACTGAGTAGTTTCTTTGCAGTAGAGAAAGGAGCCCCTGACAGAGATTACTCAGTGTGGCACACAGGAATGCTGTCCAGAGAGCCAGTGGAAGAGGCTGAGTTCCTCCCCACCTGTTTCAGGTGTCACATCTCGTTTAGGCCATAAGCCCGAGGAAATCATGCCTTCCTCCTTAGTACTTCCCGCACCTTTAAGTGCTCACTGAGGAGGAACGCCTCACTCCTGCTGACTAGACAGTATTGAAAGAAGCCTGTGCACACCTGCCGTTCGTTCATCAGCTTTGGTGTCCGAAGAGCATTGCTTGAGTCCGGAAGTTTGGGGCAAGCATCTGCCACATAGAAGGGGCCTGTTAAATGATTATTAATAGTTAAGATCGTAAACCCTTGCTCTGCTTGGTTTGTGTTTCCAGCCGGAAGGCAAAGGCAGGCGGCTCCCTGAGGTGTACTGTATGGTCAGTCGCTTGGGCTGTTTCAATCTCTTCTCAAAGGTGAGTGAAGCCTGGGGCTCCTGGAAGAGCGTCTCCGTCTGAGGTCATCTTTATTGCTGGTGATTTCACCAGAGAATATTGAGTGGCATAGACTTTAACATAGTCCTTGAGAAAGCTCGCCCACAGTGGGTTCCGATCCACAGACTCAGACTCTCCAGATGGCTCAGCAGGTCAAGGCAGGGTCCATCAAGGCTGACGACTTGAATTTGACTCTTGGAACCCACATGGTGGGAGGAGAGAAATGAGACACCAGCTGTCCTCTGGCCCTCACATCCGTGCTGTGACAATTGATGTCCCTCCCCAATGGGTTTGTTTTTTAACACAATTCGTTATTGATTCTTAGGGAATTTAATATCATGCGCCTCAATTCTGCTCATCCATACCCTGCCCCTCACCCCTGCAGCGTATCCCCCAAAAGAACCCCCCCCAAATCTTAATTAAAAACAAAACAACAACAAAAAACCCACCTTGCTCCTCTGTCTTTCCAACACCTCTTCATCCTAGGGGCATTGGGAGCTGCAGTGTGTCACACAGTACACTCTTTTGTCCACTCAGCCCCACCTGCAAAGTGTTCGTTGCAGTGAGTCACTGGTATGGTTCAAGTCCTCTGGCACAGTCATCCCCCAATGAATTTAAAAATGAAAAACACAACCATAGGCCCGAAGGCTTAAACTTAGACCACTGATCAGGTTGCCATTGCTGCTCTATTATGGTTTTGGTCTGCTCAAACTCCCAGCTTAAATGAATAAATAATAAAGATTTATTTATGTTTATTTTGTGTGTATGGTGTTTTTCCTGCACACATGCCTGAGTAGAACGTGTATGCATGGTGCCTATGGGGGCCAGAAGAAGGTGTCAGATCCCCCGGAAGTCGAATTACAGCTGGTTGTGAGCTTCCGTGTGGGTGCTGGGAATTGGATCCAGGTCTACAAGAGTAACAAGTGCTCTTAACCACTGAGTCAACTCTCCAGCCCCCAAAACTCACACTTTTGAAAGAACATATCCTGAAGCGTATCTTGCCTCTTGCTTTTTCTAGATCCAACTTGCAGGATATCACTGTCAGTGTTTATTTATTTTGCCCTTTAGTGAAATAAAAATGGTCTCCAGTTTTGGTAAAATGGCTAAGTGGTAAAGGCACCTGCCACCATGCCTGAAAACCAGACTAAAATCCCCAGGACCCACACAGTGGAGGAAGAGAACTAAGAACTCCCACAAGTTGTTTCTGACTTCCACACTTGAGCCATGGCATGCCTACACGTAATCTACACACACACACACACACACACACACACACACACACACACACACCTACACAACACACACACACACAAACACACACCTATACAACACACACACACACACACAAAAGGAATACAAATTTTTTTGTTTTTTGTTTTTTTAAAAAGTAGTTTCGCCGGGCGGTGGTGGCGCACGCCTTTAATCCCAGCACTCGGGAGGCAGAGGCAGGTGGATCTTTGTGAGTTCGAGGCCAGCCTGGTCTACAGAGCAAGATCCAGGAAAAGGCGCAAAGCTACACAGAGAAACCCTGTCTCAAAAAACCAAAAAAAAAAAAAAAAAGTAGTTTCTAAACATAAGTTGACTTGTATAACTTTGGGGGTGTAAAGAAAGCCTCACGGTGTACTTTGAGCTTTTATCAGTTGCAGAGCTTGTTTGTCTAAATCTACTGTTATTTATTTATAGTAGAATTTCTTTATGTTTCTGGACTGAGGTCTTAGTAAACTATTGTGGGTTTTGTTTGTTTGTTTGTTTGTGTCCCCATGCAGATTCTGGATGAAGTAGAGAAGAGAAGAGAAATGTCTCCAGCCCTTGTTCACCCGTTCATGCGAAGTGTCATGGAAGCCCCTTTCCCAGCTCCCGGGCGCACCATCACAGTTAAGAGCTACCTCCCTGGGGCTGGAGATGGGGTAAGTTAATTCATGTCACCACGGTTTAGTAACCACCTAAAAGCAAGCCTTGTACTATTACAGACACTGTCGACAGATTTTTCTTTGGGCTGCGAGCTCACAAATAATGACACAGAGACTTCTTATTAATTATGAAAGCTCAGCCTATAGCTTAGGCTTTTTCCTAATTAGCTCTTAGAACTTAAATTAACGTGTTTATATTAATCTTCGTCCTATCCCGTGGCATTACCTCTCTTCCATCTTGCACCTTCTGTTTCCTCTCTGTGTCTCCTGGCTCCTTTGTGTCTCGATTCATTTCCTACTTCCTCTCCCTCTGACCAGAAGTCTTGCCTATACCTCCTGTCTAGCTATTGGATGTTCAGCTATTTTAAACCAATCACAGCAATATATCTTCACACAGTGTACACATATCCCACAGCAAGGCACAGTTTCCAGAAGACCATGTGTGGGGAGGAATAGTTTTACCTTTTCAAGGTAATATGTTTTATTTCCTTGAAACTCTGAAGAAACACTGAATGAATATGTGAGGTAGTTGATCCTCAGCCCAGGTTTCCTACCTGACATAGATTGGGTCCCATTATAGTGTAGTGTCAATATGGTAAATGACAGATATGTGTATGTATATACATAATGTATGTATGTATGTATGTATTTATCAAATGGAATGATTTTACCCAGACTTTACCAGCAGCTTCATAAACTCTTTGCAGCCGACTTTTTCTTTTTCCCCAAACAGGATGTCACTATGTTGCCCTAGCTGGCCTTGAACTCATAGGGATACACCTGCTTCTAGCTCCTGAGTACTAGGATTAAAGATGTGTGCCACCGCACCTGACCCAAGTAGCAGACCTTTTTCAGACTAGAGAAGGAGCGAGAAGTTCTGTTAAAGCTGCCCTTAGAGGAGCTGTCCAGCATCAGCTCTTCCGGTTCTCTCTTGCATTTCAGTCCGTAGAACTCTGCCGGCCGCTCGATTCCCGCCTGGAGCACGTGGATTTCGAGTGTCTTTTCAAGTGCCTGAGTGTCTGCCGTCTCATCCGGGTCTGGGCCTCCCTCCTCTTAGAGCGGAGGGTGATCTTTGTCGCCAACAGCCTGAGGTAAGAAGTGAGTGGCATCTGATACTTCATGCTGGTGTTGGGCGTGCATTTATTTATTTACAATGGGACTATATTTAAAATATCTAGAACTAGCCGGGCGGTGGTGGTGCACGCCTTTAATCCCAGCACTCGGGAGGCAGAGCCAGGCGGATCTCTGTGAGTTCAAGGCCAGCCTGGACTACCAAGTGAGTTCCAGGAAAGGCGCAAAGCTACACAGAGAAACCCTGTCTCGAAAAAACGAAAAAAAAAAAAAAATATCTAGAACTAGAGCTGGAGAGCTGGCTCAGTATGAGAGCACTTGTTGGTCTTGCAAAGGACCCAGGTTCAGTTCCTGTGACCCAGATGGAGAAAACAGAAATTGTAAAGGCTCGTGTGTAAAATTACACAGATGGCTAGTTGTGGTGGCGCACACCTTTAATCCCAATAATGGTATTGCTTTCGGGGCTGAGTGGTTCACACCTGTGTCCCATCTACTCAGGAGGCCTGAGGCAGAAGAATCACTTGAGCCCAGAAGTTCAAGGACAGGCTGGGCAATGTAGTGAGATCCTCCACATCTTTTACAAATATATCAGTATTGCTTTTCTATGGGAACATTGGTGGGGTGTTTTTTTTTTTTTTTTTTTTTTTGGTTTTGATTTTGAGTTTTTGGTTGTTGTTATTGGTTTTGGTTTTTTGAGACAGGGTTTCTCTGTGTTGCCCTGGATGTCCTGGAACTCTCTGTAGACCAGGCTGGCCTCACAGAGATCCACCTTCCTCAGCCTCCCGAGTGCTGGGATTAAAGGCGTGCGCCACCACTGCCTGGTGAACATTGTTTTTTTAGTATGATAAATTGTGATGAACCAGACTGAGATGAATCTGTTAGCAATTAGTACATATTCACAGGGTTATTGATCTGTAAAGGCCAGTGAGGTCACTGTATAATTCTTTAGCATAATATTTGAAATATGTTCCATGTGCTGCTCCATCTGTGACATGTGCTTTCTCCTCTGTCTAGCACCCTGTCAAAATGTGGCCATGCTGTGGTGGCTACACTCTATCCATTCACTTGGCAGCACACCTACATCCCAGTGTTACCAGTGTCCATGATTGACATAGTGTGCTCTCCCACTCCATTCCTCATTGGAATCTTGTCTTGTTCCTTACCCCAACTCCAGGACCTTCCCATTGAAGAGGTAAGATGGAGTACATTCGGGAAATGTGAGAGCATTGGTGAAGGAAACCAAATGATCTTTTAAGAGGGGTAGAATTGTTATTAATATAATAATTTTATCATTTGGGCTTCAGAAATGTCTCAGCAGTTAAGACCTTTTGTTCTTACAGAGGACCCAGATTCAATTATCAGTACCTCTTGGCGATTCACAACTACCCATAATTCCAATTCCAGGATGCACATGATACACAGACAGACATGTGAGCAAAACACTCATACACATGAAATAAGATAAATAAATCTAAACATTTTTAAGATTACAATAATTGATAATTTATTACACTGTCATGTTTTGTATCTTAAAGTGAAAACAATTCCATGGTACATTTGCATCAAATGCTCACTTTCCAGTAGTGAGTGGTAGACCCATCTATGTATAAAAAGGAGGTTTTCTTTTTCTGTTTTTTGTTTTTTGAGACAGGGTTTCTCTGTGTAGTCCTGACTATCCTGGAACTTGCTCTAAAGACCAGGCTGGCCTTGAACTCAGAGATCCACCTGCCTCTGTCTCCCAAGTGCTGGGATTAAAGATGTGTGCCACCATCTGGCTTGGTTTTCTTTAAAAAAAAAAAAAACCACTGGTGTGTGGTGGGGTGGTGGTGCCATGGCACACATGTGGAGGTCAGAGGACAGTTTTGTAGGTCACTTCTCTCCTTCACTTTAAAATAGAATTGTTTTCAATTGTTCCTATTTATTTATTTTATGTGCATTGGTGCTTTGCCTGCATGTGTGTCTGTGTGAGGGTGTCAGATCCCCTGGAACTGAGTTACAGACAGCTGTGAGCTCTGGAAGAGCAGCTGGTGCTCTTAACCTCTGAGCCATTTCTCCAGCCCCCCTCCTTCACTTTTCTGTGGGCCACAGGGATGGAGAGAAGATCATCCAGCTTGATATTGCTGGCCCATTTTTTTTTAAATCAATACAAAATTTCTCAGGGTTGACTTTAAAAAAGTTGTTCCAAATATAGCACATGTATAGATAATTGCCCTAAACAAACAGAATATATACCTTAGTGAAGTATTATTACAAAGTGACTATGTAATTCAGAATTGGGTTGTAATGGGGCATCACAGCAAAAGATTCAAGTCTCTAATATGGTGGTCCCTTCCCCACTCCCCAGAAAAGGTCACCACCGTCTTGACTCTTATAGTAGCCATCTGTTTGTATTTCTTTATAATTCTGTCTCCAAATTGCACCCAAACCTGACATCCTGAGTTCCACCCAAAGGTAGAGGAAGAAAATTCACTTCTATAAATTGTCCTCTGTACACCATGGCATACCAGGGCTTTGTGCATCTCACACCCCCACACACCCCCACACACATACACACAAGTGATAAATAAATGATAATAACAGTTTTAAACAATGTTATCCTGTCTTCTCAGTTTTGAATTTGGTATAAAAGAGTAATGTAGCTTTTCTCTGTTAGGCATGTGTGTTAAGATTCATCTGTATAGGGTTACCAATAGTTGGATGCTTCTCATCACCTAGAATATGCCATTGTGTGAGTGTACCACAATTTTCTTACCCATTCTGCAGTTGATAAATGTTTGAGCTGTCTCCAGCTTGAGGTTTTTATGAATAAGCCTGCTGTAAATATTTTTATGCATCATACTCGGTCCCCACACTTGAGTTCCGTGGGTATATGCTTCAAGATAGAGTTCTGAGCGATCGCATAGGCACGTCTTCAGCTTCAGTGAGTTAAGTTGAACTTCTTCAAGGAATGCCAGTTAAACTTCTCCCAGCAGCACAGGAGAGGAGCTGTTGTCCCCACGTCACCAGCTCCATCGTCAGCTGTGAGGTTTAGCTGCCCTGGCTGGTGACTGTGGAGCTGTACATATATGCTCATTGTAGCGGAATTTGTGTTCCTTGATTGCTTTTGAGGTGTGTTTGTTGGCCATTGAATATCATCTATTATAAATCATATTCTATATTCCCCCTGGGTTATTTATCCTCCATAATTTGTAAGATGTCTTGGTTTTTTGTTTGGTTTTGTTTCTGTGGTGCTGGGGATCAAACCCAGAGTACCTACCTAGATGAATGCTCTAACCCTGAACTACAGCCCAACCCAAAGCCTCTTTTTTATTAGTTCTTTTTTTTTTTTTTGGATGGAGGGTATCTTCTTTTGGAGGCCTTTTTATGGAGGGTTAGGGTCTCAGGAAGCCCAGGCTGGTCTCAAACGCACTTTGTAGCTACGCATGAGTTTGAACTTCTGACTATCCACCCTCTATCCCCCTAGTTCTGGGGTTACAGGCATAACACCTGATTTATTCAGTGCAAAGGACCAAATTGTGGGCTTTGTTCATGACTTGCCTTTTCATTTTCCAAAACCATGTTCTGAACTTGTTTTTTGGTGTGTGTGTTTTGTTGGGTTTTAGGGTGAAGGCCATTTGTTCGTTTTTGATGCAGGGTCTCCCTCCGTCTCCAGGCTTGGTGGGACTTGGCAACCGTCCTGTCATAGCCTCCAGACTGCTGGTATTTTATCTTGCATCACCACACCCAGCCTAAAATGACACTTTTTAATGGAGGAGAGTTATTCATTTGTATGTGGTTAAGATGCCAATGTTTTCATTTAAGACTGATGTTTTCATGGGCTGCTTACATTTTCACATGAATGTCCTCCTCTGTTATCTCCCTATATTTGCCTTTTTTCGTACTCCACCTAGTACTTCATTTGTTTGCAAATCATGTGGCATAGATCTTTTGGGGATTTTCCCTCTTTGTAGCTACCCACCTCCTCGGTATCGCTTGCTGAAAAGGCTTCTCTCCCCACTGCTCTACCACGCTGACCTGGTAAATCTCTGTGATATGTAATTGTGTACATCTTTTTCTTTTCCCAATTCATTTGTTGTTTTGATGGATTAACTTTTAAATTGGCCGCAACTCGGAGTTAATTTTGTCGAAACTGTTCCCATGGCCTGAAAGAACCAAAGTGCCCATCCCGGTCCAGCAGTGCCGGTGTGTCTGTGGATGTCTCTGGTTGAACCTGCCCGTCTCCTTTATTCCTCAGGTGCTGATAGTTGATCTGTGTGCAGACAAGTTCCTGCAGGAGGTGAGTGACAAAGGAGAGGCTTATGTAACGTTTGGGGACATAGGTGTCTATAGGCACTTAGACAGAAAATACGTGGAAGTGCTTAGAGAACATGACTCAGAAAGGACTTCTAGTTCATACCCATCTGAGTTGACACTGTAGCTAACCATACAAGATCGGCCTGAAAACTTTGGCTTGAGTTTATAGGTGTCCATCCCAAAGGAGGAAGGAGGAAACAGCAAAAATGTCATTCTCAAGAGAAGTAACCAACTCCAGGAGAGTGGACATATAAGCCTCTAAGTTAGTTAAATTTATTGGGCTGAGGATGCAGCTCAGTGGTAGAGTACCCATCTAGATACATAGGCTCCTGTGTCCAGTTCAGCACACAGAAAGCAGAGACAAGCACTTCACTCTGGTTATGTAGCTGCTCAGTTAGGAGTTAACATCTAAAGATGATGGTAAGACAGCGGTCCCCTAGACCGAGGGCAGTGGGCGTCCTAGAATGCTTTGGAGGCGGCTTACTAGCAATCCTAACAAGTGGTCCTTTCTGTCGGATGGGGGGGCGGCAGCGATGAGTCTCAGAGCAGCTCTCTGGGTGTAAACTGAGTGTGGAAACCAGATCTTTCTTCCAAAGCAGTTGGCTCCTCACATTTAACTACCATTTATAGGGCAATGGCTTTGGAGACAAAGAATAAAACTTGTAGATGAGAGATTTTGTTAAAAAAATAAGTGCCAGAGAATTTTACAAGGTGTTACTTAATTTTTAGAAGTAAAGTTAAGGCAGAGTCCACAAAGCCGCCTGTGGGTGGGGGCTGTTAGCTGGTGCATGTGTGGACTCTCGGAAGGCTCACGCAGTGTGCTTCTCTCAAGGTGTCCGATGAGGATGACATCCTGCCACCTAAACTTCAAGCTGCCTTGGTACAGATTTTAGAAGACCGAAAGGAAGTCTTGGCCCAGGAACAGCAGTTTTCACAAGGTGTGAGACTTGGGCTGAGGACTTCAGGTTAAAGCCGTGAGCACACTCAGATCTGCACTCAGCTAAGGGACGTGCCAACCTAGTGCACCTGGAAAATCTCCCGCCCTTTCTTACAGACCCCCAAAGTGCCAGCCCCAGTCCTGTCCAGGGACCTCTGAAAAGTGACATTCATAGAATGCTTTCCTCCTGTAGGTCTGTCTCGTAGTCATTTTCTCTTTGAGCTCTTCATCCTGTCTTTTAAAAATGTCCCCCTCTCCCCAGTATTTATTGACTTCTTCCCCTCTCCTCCCCATGACTCCATATAAAGCATGTGTCAGTGGGCATGGTGACACACACCTTTAATCTCAGCACTTGGAAGGCAGAGTCTTTGGATCTTTATGAGTTCGAGGCCAGCCTGGTCTACACAGTGCCAGGCCAGCAAAGGCTACATAATGAGGCTCTGTCTCAGAAAACAAAACAACAAGAAACAGGGTCATCGTGGATATGCCAGCTGGGAAACCAAGGCTGTTTACTGATAGGAACAGATGGAAGGGAGAGAGTGATAAAGCGTTGTTTTGAGGCAGGGTGTGGTACCATGTGCCTTCAATCACAGCATTCTGAGGCAGAGGCAGGTGGATCTACATAGTGAGTTCCAGGCCAGCCTGGAGAACCTTGTCTTTAAAAACAGACACACAAAAAACCCACCACAAACGGAAGTATTTCCAGGCACAGTAGTTCACCCCTGTAGTCTCAGCTCTTGGGAGGTAGTAAAAAATCCAGAGACCAGCCTGGGTGACAGAAAGATCCTAGAGGGAGTAAAAAATGGACAGGCGGACGAACAGTCAGATAGAGAGCAGTGGAATCGTATCTGATTATTGTCTTTGTATGAGTATTTGGTGTAGTGCCTGACATGCACTAAGTACTCAATAAATTATTTTTATTAGAATAAATCATAGTGCAATATTAGGTGAGAAAGTTGAGGAGGCAAGTGATATATAGAAGAATATAGTGCATTTGTGTTTTGACATATCTTATTTTAATTGGCTCATAGCCTACCAAGTTTTGTAAAGGATCTGATATGGTGACTTATAGACAAATGGAATTTATGCACTTTATAAATTAGGCAATTTATAATGGGATAGCCAAATAATGACTGCATTGACAGCCTGAGAACGGAAAGGGTGAAATACTGGTCTGGAGACTTGAATTGCATAGCAGCTCGGTCTCTGTGCCAGCTGGCTTTGTTTGTTGGCTGCTGCTGCTGCTGAGGACAGGATCTCATGGAGCCCAAACTGGCCTCAAAGTTCACTATATATCTGAGGGTGATCTTGAACTCCTGGTTCTCCTGCCTGCATCTCCCAAGTGCAGGGAATACAGGTGTGAGCCACCAGACCTGGTTGCCAATTAGCTTTTTAAGGAGTAGACTGCTGAAGAGAAGTGGTCTGAGGACCATATTCAGGGGAGGAGGAAGGGGCAAGAGAAAACCAAATTGTCAGTCACACAGGCGAGACGGGAATCAGGAGGCCAGGGGAGCAGAGAGGGGGCAGATGCAGCGCAGATGCAGGACAGATGCAGCACAGATGCAGCACAGGAGGAGGAAGAGGGGACAGTAGAAAGACAGGTTGTATTTGCATGAGTAATGAAGCCACAGTATGGAAGCCAGGCTGCACGATGCAGTACGAGTACCGTGGGAGGGAAACGTCAATCAAGACAGAAGCCATTTGCTTTTTGCATGCCATGGGCTGTGCAGCAAGCTAATAACGCATATTCCTACATTGATTCTTGGTTTTTCATGACTCTTTAGACATGGCTTTTGTAACTATTGTCAGTATTCCTCCATTCACAAAACTTAGCTTTTTCTCTTTATTTCATTTTGAAACAGATGTGACACTCAATTCTCTGGTGTCTGAAGCATTTGTAAGGTTTTTTGTGGAGCTTGTAGGACATTATTCTCTGAATATGACTGTCACAGAACGTGGGGAGCGTGTGTTCCAGAGGGAGCCATTCCGAAAGTCCCACACTTCCCGAAGTGTCCGCCATTTTCTAGATCTCTTCATGGAGACGCAGATGTTTGCAGGATTTGTTCAAGACCGGGAGCTTCGGCAAAGCGGAGTTAAAGGTGGGCTCTACCATAAACCAATCCCTCCTTAGTTGGTGAATACTTAGAAGGATTGAATAATAGAGAGATGTGTAGACTTACAAGGGCATATCTGAGTTACTATGGGAATTATCTGTAACGCTGTTTAACTGTACAATAATACACTGGTAATAAGGACAGGGTTAGGGCTGGGGAGATAGGTCATCTGGTAAAGGCATTTGTTAACAACCGTGACAACCTGAGTTCGTTCCCTGGCTCAATACGATGGAAGGAGAGATCAGACACCCAAAAGGTAACCTCTGACCTCTACATGTGTGTTGTGGCATGCACATGCCAACCCCACACACATACATAAAAGCATGAACATACACCAAGTTAAGTAAATAAGTAAGAAAGGGGTGTAGCTCAGTAGTTCAGCACACCTAGCATGTGCAAAGACCTGAGTCCGCCCACAGCACTGCCCAAAATCGAAAGAAAAAGGAAGGTCTCATTTAATTGGTTTCCAGGGTGGAGTGTTGGGCAGTCTCACCAATGTCTTCTTCCTAGGTTTATTTGAAGTCCGGGCTCTCCAGTATTTGGAAACAATTCCTGAGTCGGAACCCAGTGGGGTGAATAGAATTTTGCGGAGTCTTGGTGAGTTGCTTTACTCTCCTGTTAGATAAAGTGGCTATAGAAGAGCTCTGCAGTAAACAAACTTCATCCCCAAGACTCATAATCCAGTCAGCAATGCAACCTCAAGCTGGCTGCCTGGACACTGTTGCCCTGGCTCCTAATGTTTCAGAAAGCCAGTCACCTCAAACGCTGGGGCTTCCCCACTAGGGTGGGCCTGGGCTGTCTCCCTTAGTGAAACCCCTAATTAGCCTTATGGTATAAGTTTCCATTTCAGATCATGAAGCTTTTCTAGGTTACATCCTTTGAGCATGCTTTTTTTAAAGTGGTCCTATTTGCCAGAAAAATGCATACAGATATGTTTTACATATAGTTTTAAAGGGTCCATGGACCCCTGACTTGTGTCCATGGACTTCGGACTTAAAAATTATCTAGTCTGAGGGACTGGAAAGCAGAGAGGATGCCTCACTCTAATTTTGCATTTCCTTATGATTTTTAAATTCCAGTATTACATGAGAACAGTGATGTGCCTATCCTAAACAGTGCTCTTACACTCGGAGCTTCAGAATATACGCTCCTGATAAACCCTGTCCTTACCTAGCAAAGTATGCCGAAAGCTATGATTTCATCTGTACCTTGGGGTTAGATTAGATCAGATGATAATCTTTAGGGACTTTAGTTTTCTTTGGACTCTTCAGGGAGTAAGGCAGGTAATTAGAAACTCCAGTTTAGTTGAAAACCACTTGTATTAGATTATGTCTTGAGTTCTTTTCCACCTCTGCAATTAGACACTTGTGGGTTTTTTAGTGGCTAAACACATCAACTGATAACTTTCCATTAGGGCAACAGAATGCCTAAGATATAAGAATGAGACGTTAGACTCTAGACACCTGGTTGGGCTCCTAGTTTGGGGAGTTTCAGCCTGTGGCTGAATGGCCCTGATGCTTTTGGGCCCATGGCAAGGTAATACATCATGGCAAGACATGCAGCTGTGATGCCTGCCAGGAAGCAGAGACAGGAAGGGGCCAGGTACCTGCAAGGGCACACTCTCAACCAGACCTTCTCCCTCAAGGCCCCTCCTCTTTAAGGGTCCGTTACTTTCAATAGTACCACAAGCTGGGGACCAAGCTTTTACATGTAGGACTTTGGGAGACACTTATCCAAACCACAGCACTTGACAGGGCAGCTACTCTGAGTGACTCTGAACGGATAGGCTCTTGGTGCCTTGCCTCAGTGGTACAGCGGGTGAAGGTAAACAAGGCACTCATTCTCTTCTCCTCCTTCCAGGAAGCAAAATGAGATTTCTCCACAAGAAGTGACTCTGCCTTCATCCTAAACATAACTGAAAGTGCCAAAGAGAGCATCCCTCCAAGGGCCTGGTGCCTGGAGTCAGTCCCACGGAGTCCTTGAGAGTGTACAAGGAGAAAGGCGTCAGAGGAGGTCTCTCCTGCTGCTGCTGCTGCTGCAGGCAAGCTGGGAGCAGTCTAAACCAGTGTGCTCTCTTCTGCTTCGAATCTGGGGACTTTTCTTTTGGTTGGTTGGCTTAGGTTTTTTTTGTTTGTTTGTTTTGTTTTTGAGACAGGGTCTCTCTGTGTATCCTTGGCTGTCCTGGAACTCATTCTGTAGACTAGGCTGGCCTTAAACTCAGAGATCTGCCTGCCTCTGCCTCCTGAGTGCTGGGTTTAAAGGCAGGTATCACCACTCCTGGCCAAGTTGTTTTTACTGTGGTGTTTTCTTTTCTCTTTGGTTATTGGTGGTTACAAGAAGCTCTGTTTTGTGCTTAGTCTATGAAAGCAGTTGTCTTTTATGAGAAAAAGACTTGGAGACACTTGGTGTTGCTTGTTTTTTTATTTGTTTGTTGTTTTTTGGTTTTTTGAGACAGGGTTTCTCTGTGTAGCTTTGGAGCCTGTCCTGGAACTCTGTAGACCAGGCTGGCCTCGAACTCACAGAGATCTGCCTGCCTCTACCTCCCGAGCTCTGGGATTAAAGGCGTGTACCACCATCCCCAGGCTGGTGTTGCATGTGTTAAAAACAATGCCAAGATGAGAATAATGAGAAAAATGCTGAGTGTCAGGACTGGAGAGGCTCGGTAGAAATGGAGGACACTACGATTACACCTTACACGCTTCTCAGCAGGAAAGCATCCAGTTGCTTTAATTCCAGTGTTTTCACCATTGATATCACCCTTTTGTCCCACGGCCTATCTTGGAGAATGTCACTCATGTTAGAACCTTAAGAAAGCAGAATCCATGCCGATCCTCCTCAGAACACGTCCTGCTGGAATAGCTTGCCCCTCACCTGTCAGCATTTTTATGCTTTGTGGAATACAGCCAATATGAAAATGTCCTTTTAAGGACAGAAGCTACCTGTTCGTTGGCTTTTGGTGCCACAGTTTGCTGCACTATGATACATTTACATATGTCATTTTATTCAAGCTTTCGATCAGCTTCATAATATTTTGCAAGAAACTGGAGTTCAGAGAGGTTAAGTAATTTGGCTAGTTATACACTCAAGGTAGAACTAAGCCAAACCACTTGACTTAGGAACACAGAGGAAGCTAGTTAGTCCTGCAGATGGAAACTTGGGCTCTTTAGTGTTATAGCAGTGTTTAAAGTTCTCCATGGAGTATAGCAGAGCCACCTCCAGGCTTTGATGAGACTTCAAGCTCTGGGGGTCTAGATGAGACCCTGTTTCCTTTGCTTTGTTTTGGGTGCTGGGAACCCAGGGCCTTATGTGTGCTCTGCCACACTAATTATTTTTCCGTTGTTGTGTTTTTATTCTAATTAGACTCAGAGTATTTCCTAAGCCTATACCTCTTCATCAACCAGACGCTGAAAATCTAATGTTTGAGCAGTGCCTGGGAAAAAGGAGTTTTATCAGTGAAGGTGCAATTTTCATTGATAAATGATAAATGTTGTGGCAAATGTCAGTTTTCTTTAAGCTTTGCTAATGGTGTTACCTAGCGTGGAAAAGATTCATTGAGACTTAGAAAGTGTTGTACATTGTATTGGGATACATTTGACTGACTTGTACAGTACTGTCATTATTACCCATTCAAGTGTGTCTGAATGAATCCATGGAAGACTGGTGCTGTGCAATATAGTTCCCAGATGTGGGTCCAGGGAAAAGAGCTGAGCCTGTGTCTTAAAGTGCTGGTGCCATTTACCACGGTGGCCCTCTTCTCAGACATCTCCCCATTTGGTCTTTTCTTACACTCCAATCCTGAAGGAACAGTTTGTATCAGTTGTTTATAAGATGGGAATAGGAGTGTTTACTGTGGTTGGTCATGGCCGTTCCTCTGCAGGGAGACTGTGCTTTGGGGGATGAGAGTCTTACCTTCTTACAATCTAAAGCTGCTTCCTTTCCTTGAGTTTGTTGTATTTTGTAAAATATTGTGAATTCTGAATATGTTTGTAAAAAGAACTGTTCAAGATTTCTATCAAATGTTTACAGGTCTTTTAATGAATAAAGGCATTTTAAAAATTCCACAGATCTCTTGGAGAATTTAAAATAAATCCACTTAAGATGTGTATTAGTTACTTTTCTGTTGCAGTGATAAAAACAAGCAACTTAAAGAAGAAAGCTTATTTAGCTTACAGGTCCAGGGGGTAAGAGTCCATCATGGTGAGGAAGCATGGCGCCAAGCCAAAGGCATGGAGGCAGGGGTGGGGAGCTGAGAGCTCACATCTTCAGACAGCAGTTTGGAAGCAGAGCGCAAAAGGCTTTAAAGGCCCACCTCCAGTGACTTACTTGCTCCAGCCAGGCGGCAGGCACCTCCTAAACCACTGCAACAGCGCCACCAACTGGAGGCCGGGTGTTCAGATACCCAAGCCTAGGAGAGGCAGTTCTCATCAAACCACAAGTTGTGAAGCTCTTTCACTTAAACCTATAGGCAGTACCTTTACATAATGTAAAATCATAAACACCCATATCCATCTACAGCCTGAGGGGTTGAGAGCCAATGAGCATCACTATTACCACAAATCCTAGAAGCAAAATGACTGGTTTTTATGTAGGCTCCAAAGACAAAAAATGGCAAAGCTTTTTAAACGAGGCATCCCGTAGATGTAAGTCCAGTCCTGGAAGGGATAAGGTGTTTGTCTGCAGTGCTGGGGATCGAAATGGGGCTTTACCACTGAGCTACACCCCCAGCTTAAGTAAGGCTGTTAGATCTGAAAACTATCATTTTCATTAGAAACAGGCTCCCATTTGTGGTGTCTATAAAAGAACATTCTTAAAGGACCCGCTGTGACATGAGGATAAAGCAAGGACTGTGAGAAGCCCAACACTATGCCAGAGTTTAGAAGGTGAAAGGTTAAAGGGTGTGGGGAGTATATTTGTTCCCTCCAGTTAAGTCCAACTTTCGAAGACCCCATGCCCTGAGTGCTCTGAGCGTTCTTACTCTTTTAAATCCCTCTCCCTTCTGCTATGCGGCTGCTAATCTCACCTGCATTGCTAACCTCTATGCCTAACTCAAAAGGCATGGTTTCTCTGGAAATGCAGTCAGTGCTCTTAACCTCTGAGCCATCTTTCCAGAGGTCCTGAGTTCAATTCCCACATGGTGGCTCACAACTATCCGTAATGAGATCTGGCGCCCTCTGCTGGTCCGCAGGCACACATGCAGACAGAACACTGTATATATAATAAATAAATCTTAAAAGAAGGGGGGGATGGGTTCCTTGCCTCCTGTCTGCCCTATTGTTTTTCTCTTAAACTCGAATAAAATTGTCCTCGGAGCTTCAGAAAAAAACACGGTACCCACGAAAAGACAATCAAGGTGCCAGGCCTACTGGGACGTCAGCGCGTGAGGCCTCGTCCACCCTAAACAAAACAGTCCCAAAGGCCTAGCGGCTCCACCATTAGCAGCTGAGCATGCGCCCGAGTCGAAGAGCCAGCGACGTGTATGACGTCAGCGCCGGGCGCAGGCGCAGTGGTACGGAGCTGAGCCCCGCGCAGACTCAGACGGCGCCCGTGGAGCAGAGCGCTGCGCAATGGCGGGCACGGGCTTGGTAGCGGGGGAGGTGGTGGTGGATGCGCTGCCGTACTTTGATCAAGGCTACGAGGCGCCCGGCGTGCGGGAAGCGGTGAGTGCGGGGTGTGTGCGGTGGGGCCGCCCGAGGCGCGCTGCCCTTTCCCGCCGCGACCCCGGCCTGTTCTCGTTCTTAGGCTGCGGCCCTGGTGGAGGAGGAAACGCGCAGATACCGACCTACCAAGAACTACCTGAGCTACCTGACGGCCCCCGATTATTCCGCCTTCGAAGTAAGTACGGTGTCCTGAGCCCCGCGTCCCGACCAGGATTCCTGCGGACTTCGATTTCGGGTTGAGGGCTTTAGCTGTGTAAAATGGACGTCTTCCAGGTTAACTGTTGCTTGCTGCTCATATTGTGTGTCATGGAGGTATCAGTTGGCTCAAAATAGCCAGATGAGCTTTCCGCAGGGTTCGTATTACAAGAAATACTTTATTGGTTTCTCCAGACTTGTTTAATAAAAATATTTTGGGTCTTTTATTTTTTGATAGAGTCCCTAGTAAATTTCACAAAAGGACCCTTTACTCTTTATTCTTAGGTCCACTAAAAACAGGTAGTGATCACGGGATTTTAACATTTATAATCGTAACTACCTGTGCTCTTTGCAACCACTGGAGGGAGATTTTTTGAGCAAAACTGAGACGACAGTTGGCAGGTGTATGAATGTCTGAACAAACATGTCTAACTGCATACATTTTAAATGGTTATCCTGCAAGTGCAAAATACTGTTTAGGTCCTAATCAGTTATTCAGTTACAAACTTTTAAATGCTTTAATACATCTTTTTTCTACTCTTTTAAAATGCAGCATGATTCCTTAATCCTTTCTTAATAGTTGCTAATGGTGTATTGGACTCTCTTCCCTAGCTCAGAAAACAGTCCTATGAATTACATAACTGTTCATTTTTGTTCGTCTGTCAATTAACGTTGGTGTTTTTGAGACTGTAGCTCAGGCTGGCCTGGAACTCAACTAGGACAGGTCAGCTTTGAACTTGGAATAGTCTTCCTGCTTCGGGCTTGTGAGTGTTGAAATTACAAGTGTAAGGCACCACATCCAGCTCTTGATGTATGAGTGTGTGTGTGTTTAAACAGTGTCAAGTAGTTCAGGCTGGCATTGAACCCAACATGTTGCCTGGGATAGCCTCGAACTGCCAATCTCCTTATCTGTACCTCCAAGTGCTGGGATTAAAGGCATGACCACCACTCCCAGATTTGATGTAGTTTTGATTTGCATTTTCTGACTGACTGTTCAGCTGATTTGCCTGTCTGCTTATTATGGGACTTGTCCTTTGATTAGGTTTTTCCTGTTCTCTATATATCATGGACATTAAACCCTGTAAGATAAATAGCTGGCAGAGATTTCCATTCTATGAGGTCTCTTCACTCTGGTAATTGCTTGCTTTGTTTTGCAACACACACACACACACACACACACACACACACACACACACACACAATTTCTCTGTAGTAGCCTCCAACTCACAGAGCTCCACCTGCCTCTGCCTCCCGAGCGCTGGGATTAAAGGGGTGCGCTTGAGAAGCAGAGGCAGGTGGATCTCTGAGTTTGAGGCCAGCCTGGTCTACAGGAGTTCCAGGACAGTCAGACTACACAGAGATGCAACGGTGACTGGGTGGCTGTCATCCAGTTAATATTGGATGATTGAGAAAGGCCTTTCAGGCTGAGAGACTGCTCCCTGTGCAGGTTAGTTGTTGTGATAGCTTCCTCATCTAGAACCCAGGTTCTTACATTGTGTTGTGACCCCTTATGGGGGTCTTATAACTCAGTGTGGTTAATTCAGAGATCAAGTCCCAAATCCAAGGTTCTGCCTTGCTGGTACGTGTTGCAGCAGCATGTGACTTCATTGAAGTCGGGGGTTTTAAACTGAAGCATGCGGGATTTACACTGTGTCAGACCACACAGCACCAGACACGGTCTGAAATATTTGTTGTGAAATACAGTGTGACGTGTGACTGGGGTTAAAGTTGTCTTCAGAGCTCCACAGCTGATTGTAGTGCATTGAAACTGCTGGTTTAGAGTTAATCCTTGATACATGGGTTCTGTGTCTGCCTCCTTTTGTGCCTAGGCAGAATGTAGAATTAAAGTGTGTGCCTGTTTCTAGAGACCCTAGATAGACTTGAGCTCAGAACAAAACTGGGAGATGACAAGAGTTAAGCATCATGGTAGGACATGTGCGAGACCCTGGGTTCAGATATTAGTGTCCTTGGGGGGACATGTGCAAGACCCTGGGTTCAGATATTAGTGTCCTTGAGGAGGGAGGGCGTGTAATAGAGAGAAGCAAGAAGATCCATTATAATGTAGTATAAAGTATAAAATCTCAGCTATTTCCAGCATGATCCTGGTGCTAATTCTTTGTATTGTTTGTGCATCAGACTGACATAATGAGAAATGAATTTGAAAGACTGGCTGCCCGACAACCAATCGAGTTACTCAGCATGAAAAGGTAAGTGAGGTTAGGCTTGGTGACCCAGCAGTAGTGGCTGAGTGTTGCCAGCTGTGTGTAGGCAGTGGGATTAGAAGATAGAGTGCTGGGTGTTATAAACATGATTATGGCCTTTTTTAAAAAAAACAAAAACAAAAATGTTAGCAGTATATATTTTCGAGATAGGGTTTCTCTGTGTAGCTTTGGAGCCTGTCCTGGAACTCACTTTGTAGACCAGGCTGGCCTCGAACTTACAGAGATCCTCCTGCCTCTGCCTCCTGAGTGCTGGGGTCAAAGGCGTGTGCCACCAGAGCCCGGCCAAATATAATATTTTTAAGCAACTTTTAAAAAAGTTGATAAGGTAGACTTTACCCAAGATGGGGGGGGTTACATGGTGACAAATAGGGATGAGAGATGTCAGAGTCTCTGTGGCTGTTCCAGGTTACTTAACTAATTCACGTTTATGGAAATAATTTTTGTTACAGTATACAGCTGTATATTTATTTGTATATTAGTTCTAGGGTAATAGGTTTCTTCTACTGCCTCTGTCATTTTGTGCGTGGGTGGGTGTGGGTTTGGTAATTTGTTTCTTTGTCTTTATATAGTGGAAATATAGCCATGGGGATTCTGTTGGAAGGAGTGATTAAGGCTTGGCAAGATATGTTGGTTTATTTGTTGTATAATTTCAGATATGAACTTCCAGCCCCTTCCTCGGGTCAGAAAAATGACATTACAGCATGGCAAGAGTGTGTAAACAATTCCATGGCCCAGTTAGAGCATCAGGCAGTTCGAATTGAGAATCTGGAACTGATGTCCCAACACGGGTGTAATGCCTGGAAAGTATATAACGAGTAAGAAGCATTGGTCATCCTCCCTTTCTTATCCTGTCCCATCCAGAGTTTTCAGTGCCTTTTAAAAGTGTGATATTCAGCCAGGTGGTGGCGCCCAACACTTGGGAGGCAGAGGCAGGCGGATCTCTGTGAGTTTGAGGACAGCCTGGTCTAAAAAGTGAGGTCCAATA